GTAGCTTGCCAATAGATAATAAACGAATGAATAAACAAATAAACAATAATACAAATGGAAGATGCGAAACAACCACTGTCTAAATACTAGTTTCCCAGTGTTGTAACACGTAGCCACGAAAAGCCCTACTACGGTCGAGGGTGTGAAGAGTTCGTTCTCCCACTCGAAATGCTATGACATAGCAACGCGTTTATAGCCATTGCCAAGGAAGTATTACTCACTACATTCTCACTGCGGGGCTGCTGTTCATGAAAATCAAAAGACAAAAAGCCTATGTCTGGCGATTTCACAAGGTTGGTAGGTAGAAAGGATCCGCTCAGGTCAGTTGGAAAACCCTCATCCCAAACCAATGATGCACCTGGGTTTATAGAGTCCTGTAGAAAAATGGTCTATGAACCTAGTCTCGGTCACCGGTCACCCAATTTCCTAACGTCGGTCCATTGCCTTGTGTATTCAACCTGCCGATCAAATGCTTGGGGAGTAGATCTCCAATAACATTTCTTTCTTTAGTTTAGGGCTCCCGATCAGTACCTCAAGCCCATTCACAAATTCATTGATTTGTGTGACGCATAAATATCGGGGTGCCTCTTCGTGCCAAGAATTGTGTGTTAAAATAATAGCAATTATTATGATAACGGATTATTACTATCAATTGGCAAAACGTACATGTGTGTATTTTAGGTTTTTTTTTAGTATAGAAAATTTATGGTTTAAAAGTCAAGACTATTTTATTGACACGTGAACATACAAATCAAACATTTCCTAATTTTAATATAACATATAATTATACTAAATGTCTCCCCCCCCCTCAAATTGAAATCATATAATTTGAGGGACAAGAATATAAAACATAAAGAACTTGACCAACAAAACAGTAAACTGTCTGGAAAAATCAACTATTGATTGATTGATTGATTGAATGAAGATTTGTTTTTGTTTTTTTCGATCATATCCTCGCCATTTTTCTACCCCCCAATATACAGGTTTACATATTCGACTACATATAAAAAATCAATTTAAGCAAATAAGCATTGGCAAACAATCCACCAAATAACTATATCATCATCCTTTAGAACATTAGTCTTCGTGATTGCGTAAAGTATAAAGGAGAAAAAACATTATTCTTATGCATTTTAATTACTACTAACTGTCGAAACGAAAGAAAGGTATCGATGAAAGTTACTCATGGAATCTTATCAACCTTTTCGATATGCTTTCATCGTAAATCGTAATATTTTTTTGGGGCAATTTCTTAATCCACTCATTAATTTTTGAGGTTTCTGTTTAACTAATTTTAATTTGAATTACTGATATTGTTCGTGTACAAGCAGTTTTTTTATTTATTTAATTGTATAAAAAACTTTTTACATTCAGTTTTACAATTTTCTAATTATTATTTTATTACAATAATCAAATGTTGATATTCGAGTTTCTTCATTTTTTCAACTTATTATAACGCTTTTTTTAAAATTCGTGCTTTTTATTTATATGCGTAAACGATTAGGATACCGCTAAGCAATCGCATAGATTTTCTTATTTTTCGTATCCAACTACTATCTTTTTCTTATTAAATAATATTAAATTAGGGAACATATTATTAACTACTACATCCATCGCTTTAGTTATATTCAAATAGAAAAATTCCATATATATATATATATATATATATATATATATATATATTTGAAACCATGAGTCGATCAATGTTAGACCACCATTAGAAACCTGGAAGCACTGGGCGTCCGTCTCGTCCTGGTATGGGGCTCATCAGAAGTGCGCATCCATGACTTCTGCACCCCGCAGGACTCGAACCCAGAACCTTCGGTATTCATGGTTTCCAAAATGTGTAACTTAACAATCTTCACATCTTCGTAATGCGAATCGCCTGTGCTAACTAGTGACTAGCTTCGTGAGGAATCTTCTCCGAGTTCTAGTGGGAAGTCGTGACTAGTTAAGTTCAACTTGTTCGGGTGTAGACGGTAACTACTGAAGAATGTGTTATGAGATTGCGAAACTCCATGAACTGATCAATTTAGACATTAACACTGTTAGATACCGGCTCAGTGGTCCAGAGGTTAGGCGTTTGCGCACAATACCGAAGGTCCTGAGTTCGAATGCTGTGGGGTGCAGGGTTCTTGGATACGCACCGCTGATGAGTTCCATACCAGGATGACACGGCCATCCAGTGCTTCCAGGTTTCTAATGGTGGTCTAACATTGATTGATTAATGGTTTCAAAAATGTGTAACTTAACAATCTTCACATTCTCGTAATGTATATAAATATATAGCAATATAATAAACTCATGACAAGGATCTATTAGAAAAAGGGAAATTTCTTATTTTAATTAGTAGTTTTAGTGTTTAAAAAAGAATATTTAATTGTTTTTAGTGAATTAAAGTTTTATTTTTTTTTTAATTTCACTCAATGAAAATTTTTTTTATTTTTGTAAAGAAACTATAAACTAACAGAATTAGATTTATAATATTTCAACTATGTATTAAACAGTATTAAACTATAAAACATGAAATAATAAATCGTTATTATTCAATAATATACAAACGAATATATTGACGAGCAATCATTGATCATTGAGTAGTGATTTATATTATGTTTATCTAATCTTTTGCAGTGAATCAAATTGTATCGATTGATAGATTTTAATAAAGACTAAAGAATACACAAGACAATACACATTGTTCACTAATCACTCAGTGATTACTCAGTGTCAATATCACAATTTTTCCAAAAGATGATCCATGAACTGAATACTTCAATGGTCATCAGATCTCCGACTGTAAAATCTGGATGATACAAGTTTGAGCCTTAAAAAACCATTAAGATTTCAAGTAAACCTTGTTGATAAATTCTGAATAACACAATATTAATCAAGTTGAGCAAGATTTTCTGATAACTATTACTAGCCTATTTGGATTAAATGTCATAGTTCCAGAAGAAAAACTAATTCATTTTTAACATTCATAACACAATAACATCGATAAAAATTTTGTTTGAGATAATTTTTTTCTAGATATACAACACATATTATTATATCAATCATTTACAACAATTTTACTTCAAAAAAAAAAACAATTCACAAAACTGAAAAGTTGTAGAATATAAAATTACAAACGATTACAAACAAATTTATGTACACAAACTTATTTTCCAACCAAAAAAAAAGGATTAGATGAAAATTGTTCATGCATGGACATTATTACATCAGTCAAATTGTTGAATCCGTATATGTGAGATAAGAATAATTACGTGAATAAAGGTTTACTAAGACAACGTCAGTTATTTGTATATTTTGTATATATATGTATATATATGTATATATATAAGAATATGGTAAATTATGTATAATTATGGGTTGTAATAATTTTTAATTCTTATGTGATGGAAATGAATATGGTGTACATTTACGTAAATGATGAACTGATAGGAATTTGACTGTGAAATATTAATGTGAAGGTACTAGTCAATCTATTGGAAAACACAAGGCTTCCATAATACAGGGTATAGTTTGGTCTAACAATACCAGTTAAATGTATCTGAGTACACTACGATTAATAGTGTGCATAACAACATATGATAATTGGAAAATAGAAGGAAATTATTTAGGCGAATTCTGTTTTATAGAAGTGTTAAACATATTACCTTAACTCTCCAGGTTTTTATATATTGTCGAACAATCCCTAAGCTGTTAGATCAAAACTTGTACACAAATCTTAGATGATTGAAAAGTCATGAGAATAATGAAACAATCACTTTACTTAAAGCGTAACTAATTTGTTACTGATTATCTCTTGTAAAATCCATTGTATTGACTGAGGATTAAAGTGATAGGAAATTTCACCAGGTACCAAGGGTATGAAATTACACTTACACAAATAAGGAATATACTTTCATCAAAATACGCACTATGATGATATTCAAGTGATTAAGAAAGAAACTAGCTGAGAAGGCAACATAATCTTGACTAGTGGGAAAATCTTTAAGATTTTCGATAGTATGATCAGTGAGAGCATTTGCATCGTCTCTGGTTGACTCTGAACTATGTGATTCATGGTATCCAACTTGTGAATTTTATCATGTTGAGGGCTTTATACAGAAAGACTATGATTGCAGAGAAATATGATGTTTGTCTGTCTGAATACCGTTAACTTCTTTTATCAAACTCTTATTATTTTATTAAATGGGGATGATTACTACGCTAGAAAAAGTATCTGTAATTTATTTGTATATATCTAATATCGTCAGGATTTATACTTTAAAACAATTAATTGTGTTAAACATTAAAAACGAATAGCTCCTACTATCATCATTTGATAATTTCTGAATCTTGAAAATAACACCGACTCGTATTCGGTTATAAAATTTGTGATTTGGATTATATACGATATGATAATTCCGAAGGAAGATAATTTTCAAAAGGTGATAAAAAAAGACTCTAATGGAAGAAGACTATTTAGAAGTTAAAAACTAGGTCGAAACACCTGAATGTGTAGTTTCCAGTAATTTTTTTCAATAAACTTCACTTCTAATCAAACTAATTATAACAAAATGCTCACCCATAAATTCACTTATTAATTTGTTGTTTTTTTTACCAGTTAGGATGGTTAGAGATGTTGGATAACATGAAACTTATAATCGGTTGCATTGCCGAAAATTATATGCATATTCTAACATCCTACGAATTCTGGTTTCAATTTTATTCCATACATATTGTCTATAAACCAAGTTACTAATAAAAAAAATTTAACTTCTTTAGCGTAGTTGATATAAGATCAACATATTGGTATTGATTGCATCGAATCACTTTCATTGCGTTAAATAAACAAACATGAATTGGAGTGCATTCATGCCAGATTTTACAATGACAATAAAACACTTTTTGTGATCTGAAAATTGTTAACAAGTACTATTCTAATTCATATATTACTATAATTTTGTAGGTAATTTCATCAATTAATTAGTAAAAACACACAATAAACTTACTATTAATGATTACTACGCATATAATTGTTATGAGGAAAAATGTTCCTGGAACTAAAATAAATAAACAAGTATGTAAACAGTAGGCATCAATTATATCACTATATGACGTAACAAAAGTATAAAACAACTAATTAAAAACAATGATTTTATTGAAATGTGAACTAGTTTGAAAAGATTTCATTAGTTACTTTGATGAATTCATTTACACATCATTCGAAACTTAATAACCAGTTAAATGGAGTGACTTTCAAGCTGTATGATATATTTTAGCGTTAATAGTTTTTTTCATCAGTTAAAAACAAAATTGTAAAAGTATTTGAAAACTATTGGCCAATGTTGTGATAGTGCATTACGTCACACGACTGTTTACTACCAGTTGGAGGAAGTGAAAAATAAAGATGCAGTGGGTGTTTAGTCTTGGTGTAGAAAATCGATCTAATTCCCACCAAGATAATGAAATGATTGTTTCGTTATAATGCAAATGGATTGAATTTACAGGGTTTTAAGTGAGTTAGCAGGAAGTGGCAAGAATTAAATTTAATAAAATGAATTCACATTTGTTAGCACAAATCTTTGTTCTTGCTATAGTTGTACGCACTGAGATATGATTTATTTTGTTTGATTCCACAATGCACTATCATGAATGTTTTAATTTGGAAATTTGAGGATGATATAAATCTTTCAAACAATTCCCAATTATAGTTTTGAGGTCAAATAAAAATGGACAGTCACTTAAGCTTTTTCTTAAGCAAACTGATTTCCTTAAAGTTATAAGCCTGTAATTGTGTATTGATTTTGTTGGTGTTTCATTCTATGAGCTGGATGTTCTGGTGGTGCAGTTTTCATTTTTCTGATGATGTGGTTGAGAAGAATAATGAAAGTTCCATAACCAAAACATCCATCTCAGCGAATGAAACACCACCACAAGTGTTTACTGATATTTCTGAGAATATTTTACACGAAGTTTTAGGTTCGAGGACAACTATAAAGTATTATTTGTTATATACTCAAATTATTGAGTATGATTCATTTGTAAGCATCACATCAGCTCACTCGACCAATGAATTTATATGTAGTAAATTTAATAAGATAGTTGACATTCTTAAAAGATTATACCAGACAGGAATGTGAATTATTTTGAAATGTATTTTTCTGTAAGTAATAATATTTACTTCATGTTCAGTAAGATCTTGCTTTCACACATATTACTCCTAAAAGTAGGCAAGAAGTTAGTTTCAGGGAAAAGTATCAATATAAGACCTTCATTAATGTTCAGTATTCATGCCTTTCTTTCCTCTCAACCAACTTATATGCATAAACCCAAATTAAATTATTACGCTAAATATGGAGAGCCATATTTTTATTACCACACTAAAAAGTAATATTTACTAACGGAGCAGCAAACAGAAATACGTTATATTAGATAGTTTGGGTTTAATTTTGCGGATATGAAAATATCTTGCTTTCAGAAAATTGATTTTAATCTAATACTACTTAGTTAATTATTTATGCCGTTGAATCAATCAGTAGAACGGTTGTAATTCTATTTCAAACTGAAAGTTCTATTCAAAACCTACTGACGTATATACCAAACAAAACCAAGACATAAGTTACACTTGAATTACGGAGTGTCAAACTCAGTCAGTATCTCTTCAACTGAATATTTGATTATTTGATTAGTTCTTATGCTGTTTGATAATCATTATACATGTGTCAAGACGTAGAAGGTATACAAAATTTGAGAAAGGTTCAGTTGCGTATTGAGTGTAACAAAATTCAATTTTCAATATGATATCTCGTAGTTTATACTTTAAAAATATTCTGATTTAGAAAAATTTTATACTTCATTTATTTGTTCTCACTAAAGTCTTGTAATGTCTTCAATCGTACAGTTATCATCAGTAAAATAATCAAGGTTTTAGCTTTTATTATCTTTTAGATTCACTCAATATGATGAAAAATGGCTTGTAATAGTAGCCATCCGAACCGTTTAGTATTTCTCTTTGGTCAGTTTGACGTATTTGAATCCAGATTGACTGTATTCATTCGCCATCTATGTCTAAGGAGTATATACCTATCATATGCATCCACTTAGTTTCGATACCATAGTTCAATAAAACTATATATAGAATGACACGTATCAACGTTTTCACTGTTAATAGAATATAACCGGAATATGCTGTTACTTGTAATCATCTAAAATATTCAGCTTTCACGAATTAAAATGATTTATCTTATTTTACTTTGGGTCACATTTACGCTTTCATTTGAGTAAACAACTAAGTATGGTGAGAGCTTGAATGATGGTTTAAACAGCTGAGAAATTTGTAGACAATGATATTATCATCATGTAGATTGGATATAATATAAAAATAACTGAAAGCTAAAATGCATCTTCGCTAACGTGATGAACTTCTAATTACTGCAACGTTGATTTATGTAGCTTCAAGTGTGAAAGTTATCTCAGTTTATTTAGATAGAATCATTACTATTTTTTAAAAACGGTTTCACAAGAACAAAGTCTTTGTCATATACATTTCATATTTTCTATACTTGACGTTTCATAAAGACATATGAAATTATATAAAAAGGTTCAAGTACTTTAATTGCCTGTTAGACATGTTTCTTGTAGCTATATCTCACCACGCCATGACATTTTATTTTTTCTCATTAATAAAATGTTTGCATGAAATATGACTAGACCATTGATTATTCTTGAAGTATTATCTAGTCAACCTAGCTTTATATGAATTCCAGATAATTGATGAACTAATCTTTTTACTGTTAAGTAAAAACATTGGAACTCTACCTACAGATTTTTCAGTAACTCCGAATCACCAGTCGATAGATTCCTTCACTTTGCATATCAATAAAAGTTTTTCATAATTATCAACTAAATACAACGATTTCATGAATTAAAAGTTTTACAAAAAGAAAGAACCTCACATTTTTAAAAGTCTTACTCATAGTTTGAAGTTATAAAATTTAACTGGCCAACTCGTGGTCGAATCAACTCGGTTGGTAGACATATTTTTACGACTTGATTTCGACTTGGACCCGAAGACGTGTGTTTAACTCTAGATCTTAGGGCAACATGGAGTTTCGGTGATTATGGAGGATCTACATTAGCTAAGTGAAATGGAGGCATACTATTTCAGGCAGTTTCTTTCAGACATGTACTAAAGAGGGATATTTTAAGTAAGATTTACTTGCTTAAATTTATGATAAATAAAATTCTATGGAAACAGAAAGTAACATGCCCCACCTAATCATTATTAATTATGATAAAACGATATTTCATTTACATTTTTTGCTATTATGAACTAAATCATGTTCATTAAAAAAGTAATTAGCATGTAATCCAGACAGTTTTGGTCACTTTCCATCTTCGGGTTCAACTTAATAAAGGGGCTAATAAACGCGGTCAGTTATTCCTAAATACAACACAAAATGTAAATTAAAGGTTTAAATTTTGGGCAACCCACTTACTGCTTGATGTATCAATTAAGGCCAAAATGATCGTCAGTACGAGAACAATAATCTCAACGACCATACATCCCAAAAATCGAAATCGTGAAGTTGAGTTCCTGCGTAACGAGATTAAATTAGTAATACATTATTAAAAAAGTAAGTCTCGGGCAATTAGATTTTTATTGTTATAGGTAGTGTCATATTTAGTTGACTCATATTGGCTGGCTTCAATAGGAAAACCGTTTTCATCTTGATATCAGTGTTGTTTAAAAACTACACCTTGGCCGAATAATTTTGGTTACGGTATTTTACAGATACCAGAGATTCGTTAAATAACACCTCAACGCAAAACGAGGAAATAACGGAGCATGAAGTTACATTACTATAATCTAATAAAGATTAGATTAACTAATAATTATTCAACTAGTCAGTTAGCTATTGAAAATTCGGAAATTATTTGAAGAACATGCACATACGCTTCCTGAGTAATTTTATTTCTGATTTAAATTTTACTCAACCCTAATTAGGTGGCAGCCTTAAAATGAGCATAAAAGTCTCCAAGAAATCATTGCTGATTTTTTATAAGCCACTACAAATAAACTTATGATAAATCTGAAGTACAGGAAAAAAAAGATGGAAATTGATAATATATGCTGAAATGTGATAGACTGGTGGATCAATTATCGACATCGCAAGCATCAATTGTATAAAAGGAACCCATGCTTTGAGCTTTTTGGTGAATTCCCGTATAACAGACGCAGGATATTTTGAACGAAAACAAGTTACAGTGGCATTCGTCGGGCTTAAGAGTATAAGTCACTTTTTTTTACTGGCAAATGATACACTAGCCTATAAATCAAGTCTGTAAATTATCTCCATTTTTCTTAAGTAAGCAGTTGCAAAGTTGAATGTTGATGAACAAATAATGGATATAAATTTAATATTTCACCCAAAACCAACAAAAATGATTCACTAGTTTTACTTACGTCGCACCACTTTGATAAAATGTATTCCATGCAGCAAAACATAAACAAGGAAACTGTGCAGCGAAGCCAAAATAGCTAAGGAGGTTGATACGATAGTCTGCATTAAAACTTGTCGTTGTGTTTAACTTGTAATCAAAATACTGGTACATCTTTTATTACCAAACATATAATACCTCATATCCATTGATAAAGACGTTCCATGGTATCAAAAATCCAATACCGTGTAGAAACAGGAAAACATAAGCCAAATTGTACCTAAAAGTGAGGAGAGGCAGTGGAAATTTACCGATCTACAGGTGGCGATCGAACTTGTTTCTCCATATTTGATCAAGCTTCAGAGTATATAAAGCTGTAAACTGAAATGTTTAATGATAAAACAGTTACTGAATGAGGTTCAAATAAAGTAAGAAATTAAGAAACTTATAATCAATGAGTCGTAAAAAATTCAGTCAATGGGCTTAAACTTTTAAATGCGGGTTTTTCAACAGAATACGACAAAATTATCTTGCGTGATTTTTAGACGTAAAACTCCAACCGAATTTAGAAGTCACTGGGAAGTGCAAATTCAGTCTAAATTTTTATACGAATTACGAACGGCACCACTCGCTAACAACTGAATTCTATGAATTTAAGAACCTTATGTTTGATGTCAAAAAGATCTACTTTTCTTTCGTTTTTCATGGGTTCAAGAACTAACTGAATAGAAATATCACTTATATTTGTAAAGAACATCGCAGTGCAAGAGACTGAAAAGCCAACAAGCAATAGGGATTAAGTAAGAAGTCAATAGAAACGTCATTAAAGAACCTATATATTAGTTTTGGAAATAAAGAGTCAGGTAAGCAGATATGAAAATAATGTTCAGATTACGAAACAGCATTACATTAGGTAAATAGGATCAGAAGGCACGTTCACAAAAGTAGAACACTATGGTCCCAAGGAACAGGTTCAGATTTCTCAAAAGCATAAATAGTTGCTTTGTAAGAACGAATTTTAGACACTTTGAAATTGTAATTTTTTACCAATTATTAAAATATTGTTCGAAAAATAAACCATACACCAATTTTACGAACTCAGCGAACATTTAGTCAAATGCAAAAATGTAAAATTCCTTTATATTTTGATAAAAACAAGCCTGTCCCTGACTCTGAAAGAAAAAAAGGACTTTTAAGTGACTTCGTGTAAAACACAGAATATACACAAAATAGGGAGATTTCGAAGACACTGGAACAAATGTAAAGTGCTAGATAAACAGAAAAATCTTTTAGTAAAAGTACAAGTGGAAATAATTCATATTTTTCCCTACAGTGATGAAATGGTGCAATATTTCGTTCATATGTAGGCATTATCTATATAATGTATGATTTTTAAAAGCAAAAAAATACATTCAACAAGCAAAATATTTATAGTGAATAAATTGATATTTCGTGCCAAACTACCTAATAGGATAGTACTGACAGGCGAAAACAATGTAAACCTATAACTCTGTAACAAACTATAAATTCAATATTTTGCGTTTGGTGAAGGTCATCGTATGACCTACGATGCCCAGCCAATTAGCAATATCCTGTTCAAGAACTAGCATTCAGTATCATGTATCAGCTTCGCAAGCCGGCAAAAACCATTTGATTTTCTTGCGGTCTATTCTTGTCGTTTCTGTAGGGTTACTGGAATTTCGTAATATCCAATGGATGGTAGTTTATTCACTTGACTGCACTAATTCTATTCGTATAACAGTCATTTATAATTCCGTTTGTCAAGTGATTCGCGTGGGTGAGTTTGTTTTACAGCAGTAGCGGTTCTGGATGCCAGCAAACATCCCAGTACGGGGCTGGATATCAGGTAGTCGTGAAGTAGAGAATTTTATAAATAAAATTGTAGTGGTAATGTTATTTCAGAACTAAAGAAACAAATAAATGTGTTGTTTATTTGGAGATTAAGGTTGTGTCGAGAGATATGAGTATGAACAAAGAAGTGGAATCGAAGATGATAAGCGGGATATAACAAGTTATTAAATTGAGGAACAAACGATAATAGCAACAAACATTTTTCCAGACATGGATCAGACACAGTTGATCCAGATGTGAATAACAGTCCGTATTGGAATACGTGTTTTCAAATCTCTTATTGAAGATTTCTAATTAGGTAGATGCCGTCGTTTCAGCTTGCGGGGCATTCCAAATATGGACAATTATCAATGAGAAAAAGTTGGCTCAGTTCTAAACGTTCTGTACTTGATGTGTAATAGTTCGAGAGTTAAAATGAGAGGTGTGGAGATGATTTCTCCAGTTTCTAGACGGAGATCTGGCAGTGAGTAGACGTTAAGGAAGGCATAAGTTTTTTGAGTCACGGGGGGCTGAGTTAATTTTATTTTACAGTTTCTTAATGAACAGGAAGAGGGATGTACTTAAGATGGTCCACTATGAAACTCCTGATTTGGAAACTCGCCGACTGTCATGCACTGAATTTTTTTTCAGAAGAAACTTCCTATTCTCAAGGTAGTTTCTGAGCCAATACAGAGGTGTTTCAGTGATGCCTATCTTTACAACCCCTGCAACTAGTAATATGTGAGTTGTTGTGTCTAAAACTAAGGTGAAATTGAGTACTGATTTGCGAACCGATATTTTTCAGTCCCAGCGGTTCGTGCAGCCGTCCCATGCCATGAGAAGTTTGAATGCACATAAACTGCCTGTTCTAAGCAGGTGTTAAGCTTCGTTGAGGATGTTGTCAATGTCCGTGTACTCGCCCATTAATTTGTCCATCGGTCCCTCCGTCACTCGAGACAATACTTGTAGCAGTGCACCTAGTATGTTGCAGGTTGGATCTCTTATATGTTGCCCCCACATGAAAACTGAAAAGTTTATTTCTGTTTAGGTAGGAGTTTGTGTGACTTCAATGAATGCCTGAACAGGTCACATATGTATAAACTCAGAGTCTTAGGATTATGGGGCAGATATCGTTGATTTCGATATAATGACGGCATTCAGATTTGTTATTTTGACTGTCCACCAATGATGGGAGGTTAAATTCATATCCTCGAGGTTATTCAAATATCCAATTCTCGGAGCAAAAACTGACTCTTTATTATTATAGATGAGCGATTAGTGGAGTAAAAAGCGTGCGTCAAGACATCATAGCAGCAGTTAGGTCATTCTCGTTCAATACATAGAGAACTGAAATGCTAGAAACGTTTTTGTTTTATGCTAGAAAGAGTTCCATCCATATTGTTTGAAATAGGATCTACTGACATGTATAGCTCACACCTATAAAATTGTTTGCTGGAACTTGCATAGGTTCTAGATTGGATTCTTTCCTGAACAGTTACGTCTTCTGTATGGAATGAATGAACGATTACATGAGCTCGTAAAGCGTTACAACATGGTCATAATGTTGGCACATTACTTCTTAGTGATCTATGATGTCGAATACGTCTACCAAGGATAAAATTTTGTCTGCTATCCTTTATCACTAAAGGAACAGTATAGTCACTGAGGCTAGAACAGCATACTTTTGGAAAGCATAATAAAGGCTTATAAGTGCAGTGATTTAAGTGGCTACATCATATTATGGATTTCTAGAGCTTTCTTTAGCAGTAATTCCATAGCCTTCGCGAATGCTTTCAGCAGTTCAATGGTTTCATAAATATTGCCTTCAATGTGATTGTGTCAGACTGCTCCTGTCATTGCAATGCAAAACAACTAATTAATAATCTAACAAAGTAACCGATTACAGTAATTGTGTAGCATTTGAAAAATTTGATCTTGCATATAAGTTGGCATACCTCTAGTAACACACTATTACTTTCGAACAATGATCGTAATGATTACTTATATTATTTTTATTCATACACTTTATTACAGGCAGGTGTAACTGTGGTTATCTTTGTTTCTGGTGTTTTTACCATATATATTGCTGTCAATAAGAAGTAAAATTTCTGTCAGCGGTAATCAGTTACCCAAGCAAATAACTTTTTGCTGAGTATGTGCTACAAAAAATCTCAGCTCTTGGCGCAGTCGTGGAGTAACAAGGAGGGGACTGGTTAATATTGTCGCTGTATCTACCTCAACATTAAAAAAAGCACTACAGAATATTGTCAAAGATGTTTTTGCTCATTTATACAGAAACACTTAGTAAAATAACGTTCTTAAACATTTGTCACTAGCGAAACGATGTTTATAAATCCCCTTACATAAGTTAATTTACCTAGATCCGGAGGGAATATCAAGAGCCTTGCACAAAAATATCAGTTGGTTAATACTAACTCGCGAAATTGATTTAGGATACTGAATGAGACTCCACAGCAATTCACCGTAATCCTTCCGTGAAACGAAATCACTTCAAATCTCTGTTCACTAAATGACTGCTGATTTCTCTTCTAAAAATACCTCTTTTTGCTTAGAGGTTACGGTGTATTCTTCACACGTTTAGTTATGAGGACTTAACGTGCGCAATTGTTTTTATTACTGAGCCAACTGACTTATCGTGATAATCAAACCTTTTGTCTTGATGTGTTTTTGTGTTTCCGTTTTGGTTTCCATTGGCGCAGATTATTAGAGGCAACTTGTTATAGCCATGGAAATGACAAATGATAGTACATACATTGCTGTGAAAAGCTATATTCAGGCCCTAGGAAAATGTCTATATTCCGGTTGAATAATAACTTGACAGTAGTTCATTTATTACGGGAAATTCAATATATTACTGTTACATGAGTTTTATTGCATAAGATTTAGAGTATTCATCATTCTTTCACAGAAATTTTGTACAGAACAAGTATGTTGAGTACGTTAAATTCATACAAATATTGGCTTGATCATTCTTAGTTCGCTTCAGTTCCTTTCCATTTTTCTCTTCACACGACTGAGGTCGTTCGCAGTAGTTACCACAATATTGAGGCAAATATAACTGGAAACTAATGTAGCACTGGTTAAGCAACATAATTATTATTATGTTTGAGTGTATGAACAGGTTAGCTGAGCAACTATCGGAATTTGCTTCTTTATCATTGGTTGAAACTAGGAAAATGGATGGCATTTCGGCGAATGTTACTTTCTACTGGACAGACCACAGTATCAACATAGAAAAGGAATTGGCGTTAATTTGACTTTCTAATGTTATTGTATCCACAGTATCATTCGAAATTTTAAGTGGATGAGCACAGAACGTCAATAATGTTGTTGTTCACGCTATTTTATACATCATGTTTGTGCTGTGCATCTTATTACTATTGGCAAGAATCTTTGAAAAATACATCTAGTTTGGTGATGGAAGGATACTTAATTTCGTAAAAACGACAGTGTAATGGTGCTTGTTGAAGTTGACTATGAACGCCACTTCAGACCAATCACTCCCCAGTTACCAGGTACAATCCCTCCGTGAAAACGAAACAGTGAAGGAAGGTGAATCCAGAGATGAAAGTTTATTTCCTGATGATCTAGTGGTATCTAAAAGAATACTGAGATCGTACCAGAGGATGCAGGCGAAACTACCTCACTTACAATAACTAAGATGAAGTTGACACGGAAAGAAAGTGGGTGTGTCGAGTAGGAATAATCAGAGATTACTGTAAAACCATCAATGGTACAATTGGTTATCATAATGAATGTTTTTACTCAACCAGTCGCGTTCACTTCATAGATGTGGAGTCACTCCATAAGCTTTACAGAATCACCTAACATACGTATTCGAACCATGATATCTTAAAGATTTTTCCCGTATTCACTTTCCTTAACCGTATTTACCGTTCTCCATATCACTTGTCCATGGTATTGAAGATGCCACCGATATATAGAGTCTTTAAACGCGGCTTCATACGAGGAACAGAATCACACAAGAAATCTGGAATGAAATGCAAACTGGTTGAATTTTCTATTTGTCTGACCTAACCATCTAATGTAACAATTTCGTGACCTACAGTAGACAAAAGTGATCTGATCAGTGTACTTGACAGACCGTTTGCGGTCTGGAGTATATCGATCAAGATTGAAGAGGTTAGCAGTAATGTCGAAGACTTACATAACCATCTAATTTAGGGATTTATTTCCGGCTTCAAATATGGTTCTGTACTCTCTCTCTCTCTCAAAGTCATCTCTCTCCAGAGATGACTTGCAGTTTTGACTCGGCTTACTGCTATATCACAACAATAGAGGCTGGGTGCGACAAGGACAAAAGACCGGCAATCTGCCGTGAATGTGTGACTGTAATCTCTAAAAAATAACCTCATCATATTGGAAACACTAAGTTTTCGGTATAGCTCTTTTGCTGTGTATGTCACAATATTTATTGTACTTTTTTATGAGGGGCAGAGAAGATTATTTTCACTGTGATTAATAATGCTAATCAGCAATTTTTAACTGCTTCCTTCGTACTGCAGAAATAATATTACCATCAGGCAATTTGCTATGGTTACGTACAATCGATACAATATTAATATCCTACCAACATCAATAATAAGTCTATCAAGCCATCGAACTTACTTGGTTTGCAAAATAATGAATATACACATTTATTTTCCTGTAATTCAAATTTTTGTTGGATTCCCTCTTGGAAAAGATGTGCCTGATGCGTATCTTGAGACCTGCTAGTTGTTAACATTGCCATCTCCTCATAACACTCATTTATTCTACGTCGCCTATTATCTTTATTTCCTATCCCTCGTTTACACTTCGGTCCTCTCTCACAATTTTCACTGCCAATAAATAATCTAAATCATCTGTATATTACTTAGTTCTGAAATCTTGTTCATATTAGCATTACAATTTTATCATTATTATCCTTATTATTCTCCACATTGAAACTAACTGATCTACGGTCTGGTAATGTAATAGCTGTTGGTTACCAGAAACCCTACTGCCCTGAAACAAACGCGGGACAGGCAAACTCACAAACAACTGCCGACTGAATAGAACTACATAGACGAGTGGCTAGACCGCTATTTATTGGACATTACCAAACACCTGGAACTGTACCCAAAGAACTAGAATCGAGCGCAAGTATATCATTCGGTTTATACTAGCTGGTGAAAAATATATTGGATATTGAATTGTAGACAGAAAATTCACCCTATTTATGTAGCCAAAATAAACCCTAATTTAACTCCAAAAGTATCTTATCATGATGAATTATCACTGTGATTGCAAGTCGTTGTTATATCTTAATGTATTGTGCTCTTTAAATTCTTTTTGTGAGTTGTTATGTGCTTGTTTTAATTTGTCAAAAGTTTATTCGACTTAAAGTTTCTTTTTCAAGTTAGCGTCGCTTTGATGCCACCAGATCGTTGCCGTAATATGCTTAAGGTAATTTGTAATTTATCAATGTTTAATAGTAAAGGAGAAAGCATATTTTTTATTTAAGTGGCTTTCTTTGAAGGTGTTGGGACAGTCTTTTCTCCCGAAATTTTTGTATCCTATTATTGAGTATGAGGAGGTAACCATTTGTCATTTGCCATAGAATAAAATATTGTCACAGGGGACGTGGGAAATCAATGAATCGTTTGTTTCCGGACTGTCCTCTTTCGAGCTTTATTCAGGTGTTTATCGAATTATTGATTTGAAAGTATCTCCACAAGGTTTGTATCAAATTCAAGGCTATTATTGTATATTATTATATTAAAATTTTTATCGTTTGTGAGAGAATTAAAGTATAATCATCGTTACTTTCTACCGTTTAATCAAGCTGTTTCAATTTGTTCATTATATTTTTTTGAATTCGGCATGTAAATTAAAATACTTTGGGCTAAATGTAACCGATCTATCATACTTTTGGTAGTTTTTATCTAAAATTTTTGACCGAAGATAAACCTCTTCAGTCCATTCCTAGCACTCAGATTGCTATTATATACTGTGCTAAGAATCTACATGTAACTACACGTAAAAATTGCTCAGTGTTTTCTTGACCGAGTAGGCCTTTCTATATTCCGCTACGAAAAGATTTGCGGTGGCTACGCTACATAAGCACTTAAACGTTCAGCAAAGCCATAATGGGATTTTTGGTAGTTGTGTTCGGACTAGTACCCTTCTACGTAAGAAAAACAGAAAGGCCAACAAACTGTTAGAATTCACGTTAAGAATCTAAGCTTGATTTTTGCAATTATATTCAGTCGAATCTCATGAGCATGAGTTACCAGTTGTCGAACGATCAACCATCGATAAAGTAGAGATTTTACAGTAACAGTAAAAATTTTTTAAAAGATAATCGAACCTTTGAGAGCTTAACAGTTAATTGCTATATGCTTAATAATTTGCCATGGAATCCATTCTTTCAAGCGTTTTTTCATTTGTTTCTCGAAGTAAGAAAATGGGTTCTGTCATTTTGCTCCTATTTCTTAACGTCTAGTAACAAAATACTAAAAACTGCTTGGCTTACACTGTGTTATTCCCGTCTGTTGGTAGTAAAGACCTTAACTCTGACTACTAACACTAACTTTCAGCTCATGTTTCTGATTCCAGTTCGTCATACTGTTTTATGATCCCATTTTAAATTTATAAAGTGTTTGATCCTTCTAAAAGTCACTTTAGAATCCCTCAAAGGTTGTCCGTAAATTCTTGTCTTATTCCATTTGTGTATTTGAATCTCAAATAACTCTGAATAATTTTTTTAAAGTTCGTGACTGGAGTAAGGATTTCTTCAATTTTTCCAGCAACTCGGAAAATCAATAGTTTTTTCAGAACAGGTATTTTACTGACTTCGTAAGCTAATGGTCCTGCAATCTCCATAAGCAAAGATAAAATTAAGGAAATAGAGCGATGAAAAAGTAAATTTATCGGTTATTGTTCTAAGTCATTTTTCGATACAACGCAGTCTGTTTAATATCCACTACCCTTAAATCATGATGTTAGAATACTACAACGGTAAAACTAATGAAACCTGTTCAAATGAACTTTAAGCCTTGAGGTTAAGCCAATATAGCCAAGACGAATAAACGTACAAAAAATTTTCATACCTTTTATCTTTCATTGACAAACTACTCCGATGCAATTTAACTTCATGTAGACATGATATGTATTACGTCTAAATAAATAGCATCGTATTGGATGCTTATCATGTCGCCTAACTATTAGCTGAGTGCATCTCGCAACAACATATCCGTAACTTTAAACACTGCTACCAAGTCACTTGAACAGCAGCTTCATCTCAGAAACAAGAATACAAAGTTAACTACTACTGGTTGATCATATATTTTGCTTGATGAAGAAAGCTGCAAATCTTATGTAAAGGGATTACCGGGCCACCAAATGACTTAACGATTTTCTTATTGAGTGCATCCGAATGCTCCAAAACTTTAGACGAGGCCATTTATTTATCCAAGACGAAAAAGAACAATATTTGTTTTCTACTAGGATATTTAGCTGATGCAAAACTGTCAGTAGTCTATGACAATATCTGGATTGCATTCTTTTGAGTTCTTCCTTTAAATTTTGAACAGTGTCACTTCATAGACTTTATTCTAAAATCCTACTTATTACTTGTAAACTGTACTTTGAGTATTACCGTGTCCATTCTGACTAGTATCTTTCGTTGGTAACAAGCATGCAGTAATATGGGCCAACATATAATCGTGTCGAATGATTAACTAATTGTCAACACCAAGTAATGTGAAGGGTTAATGAGTTGAAAAGGTTTGTAAGTATATACTTGCACGTTTGCGGGCAATCCCCATTACAAGATCGAATGGGCATTAGTTTCAGCTGCATCATTCTCGATTGTATTAACCTCGTGTTTGCATCTTAATGTTCAAGCCGCTTTAACAAAATGGGATTCAGCGTATTTGGTTACTTATCTTCAATGTTACTGATTTGTAGTCAGTGTTAATTTAATCTTATTAAAAACAGTATTTGTTGGCTTGCTTAACTAAAATATTCCGAAGAGTCCATAACTATTATTAGCTGGAGAAAAAAAGTGGTGCAACTAGAAAAAAGCTACTTTTATTTAACTTATCAGAAGTTCTGCTTTCACAATAGAAATTAACGAATCATCTATCAAAAATTTTGTGTAGAAATGATAAAACATGCAATAATAAATTTTATCCGCATTTTGCTTTGTCCTTTTATTTGGTATAATAGACTTTTCCGGTTTACTTGATGAACTAACACAATTATCAGGTGGTCGGCAACTGACACTGGATCCAGCTGTACTGGAATCGTATGCACACAATTTAATGGAAATGAAAAAAGATCGTAAATAGACTTTAAAATTTTTCTAAATAAACTTTTTGTTTATCAAAAATTAGACAAACCTATTTATTACGATAGTGAAGTTATACAAAATCCATACATTGTACGACCTACTGATTTGATGTATCCACATTTTGGATCAAAAAATGGGGAGAGTTCTCAGACTGATCATCCATTAGATCTAATTTGGTTGGCATCACATATTGCTTTGACTGAAATAATTTTACGAACTTATTTGTCGAATTTAGTTACACAAGTGAAATTAATTGATGCACTAAGGTACGTATTTTCAACGAGTTTCTTCAAGTATTAAACCACCATTTTTTTTATTAAACTTAAAGTAAATGCAATGCTTTGTTTGAATAATTGCATTTTTTCATAAAGCAACAGATCAGTTTTAATGTAAATGTACTGTTATAGTATTTCGAGATTTCAGATTGTTCGGTACATTTTGAACATATTTTTTAATTTGCTGCCAGCCTTGGTTTATTTGTAAACTCAGTTAAGGAGGCTTATTAGATGAAGTCATATAAAGAATTGGGAAAATAAATCGTTTACACCTAAGTAATTTCTTGTGAAGGACATTTAAAGATGACGCGACACGAACAACTCATTTCGAATGAAACAACTGAATATTATGCAATCCAGTTTCACCAAGTCTATTTTTAATCGACTGGTGAAGACATTTATTTGAACCATTAGAAAGAATCAGTCGTAACAGACCTGCTTCTCTTTAACATTCCTTCTAATATGTTTGTGAATTTACTTCTACAAAACATTCAATGAATGGGATATGATACTTCATTTATCATCTCATTAAATTTAACAACATTGTATTTCTTTCATTTGTCAAGAAACTATAGATATTTCGTAATACGATTTGCTATCACTTTGCCTAAGGCTGAGACGGTAAAACAAAAGTGAAATATAGACTAGAAACTGTACGTAAATAAGTCCCTCTAAAATATGTATATCACCGTTTTTACTTAAGATATAGATATCAGCTGAGCCTAATGTGTTACTACAGTAATACATGTGCCGTTTTTGATGCAATGAAATTTATGATGGTGATGTTATCATCTAAGTAGACAGTGAAAATTTCATGATTATATCCTGATATTTGTAGAATATGATATGCAAAATATGATACCTCAAGAATGTTAAACATCCGATAGTCAAATCTTTTCATCTGATAAGCATTTATATAATAGTTGAAGATTTTAATCGACAATCCGTGAGTGATAATAAAATGTTTACTGAGATTTGAATAGGAAATTTAGAAACGATCAGTTAGTTATTTTACACCAAACCGAGCATATCTATCTATCGTTTTAAGTCATCTCTCCTAGAAGACCATATATATCTACTGTCGGTGATCAAAGATAATGCAGTCAAACGTTTTGCATTTTTTCAAACTTATGTGCGTGACTTTTCAAGGCGAAAACGTTCAAAACAATTTTTTCCGGTATTTACAATCATTATATTATTGGTTAAAATCCATTTTTATTGTGGTATATTCTTTTAATTTGATAACTGCCAAATGAAAGTAAAGTTCAGTTGTGTTTGAATGTCGGTAGAGTAAAATCTTACATGAGAAGTACTTTTGTTCAGTAATCAGCAAAAAAAGCACATTCGTAGTTTTAATATTATTTGACTTAGAATTAATCACCAACTCGTAAGTAATATTTGCATTAGCAAACTTCTTAGACAAGAGATATAACCTTTTAAATAAAGCGTCTAGGCAATTGTTATCACCTAATTTTAATTAGTATGGATCAACAGATTAAGAGAAGGTTCGTTAAAGAAAAATTGTTTATCACTGTGCAATATTGGATAACAGTTTGTTTACTGCTTAGGCATTGTTTATTTAAAACTAGATATTTATTAATTTAATTACAGCATGTTATGTAGAAATGAGTTGTGTAAGCTTATTTGTAATTATTATGATTCTTGAAATGTTTCAGTATAGTTACTGGGTGTCGTTTGAAAGAAGATTCAATAAAGGGACTTCAAGGTGCTGATGGTGTATTATTTTGGCTGTTTAGTGTAGCTGCTAGAGCAGCCACAGTTTTAGGCATAAATGTAAGCAGCAATAATAATAATAATAACAATAATTTATTTTTGAATGTATATTACTTCTTTAATTTTTTGTTAATTTTATCAAGTGTTTCATTCAATTGCACAAGATATTTTTACTTTTAAGTGATAAAATTTATAACATAGAGTCTAATCTCCATTAATCACTGGTCTATAGTTTTTAAGATCTTGTTAGGATTCTCGAACAAGAATTCGTCAAAATATAAGAGATTTTGGTAAAAAAATGACTCAACCTGTGGTTTACATAGTGAATGTAATTAATTTACTTAACTCGGAGTAATTGAATTTTGCTGTCGACGAAAAATAATAAAAATTGAATATCAGTAGGTTTAGCGGTTCATTGATAGTTAAGTACATATGATGTTATTCTCTGCCATCAATCAAATAAAATTGACTAATTGTCTGTCTACAAAACTGTAGCAATTCTTCAGCAATACAAATTTACTGAAGACTGATTGTTACTACCATTATTTTTAAATTATGAATAGATCAATATTAGACCACCATCGTAAGCTTGGATGCACTAGACTACCATTCCGTCCTGGTATGGGAATCATCATCAGTGAGCATGCATGACCTCTGCTTCCCGCGGAAACCGAACCCAGGACCTTCAGTCTTGCGCGCGAACGCTTAACCTCTAGACAACTGAGCCGACACCCAACGGTGTTAATGCCTAACTTCAGTCACCTAATGGTCTTGCGCAACCTCATCCACTGTCTTCAGTGAGCACTGCTTCATACCCGAACAGGGTTGTACTCCACCGTTCACAACCTCTCACTAGGTCCCGGCGAAACTTCCTCACAAAGCTAGTCACCAGTGCCTCCAGGTTTCCAATGGTGGTCTAATATTGTTCGATTCATGATTGAAAAGTAACTCAACAATCTCCACAACCCTACAATGGAAACTACCATTATAATCTAAATTAATGTCCATTTTTTAATTGTTTCCAAAATATTGTCACTACATAAAATTATTCTGTACTTCATACACTTATCACCAATACTATCAAAATTATTTAGTGAGCGAAATTTAGTATTAGAACAATACTTTGTAGTATATCAACGTTAACTATCATTAGAGTCAAGTAGTTGCTTGATAAAAATAAGCGAGAACAAAAAAATCTCAATATTAAAATTTACAAATTGTGAAGTAAATTTTATCAATCTGCGATTTGATTTGTGAAAATTAAAATGCTGTGACGACGTCTTTAGAACCTATGGACAGATGAATTTAAGAAAATAACTAATCGATGGATTTGATGGAGGTATACGATAGATCACCCGAAAAGATCTAGATTTATCTACAATGTGACCACTATCTACCAGGTGTGCTAAGATAGAACTGCGTATTGTTTTTGACTGACCCTTTGTAAACCATGCTGGGAGATGTTCACTCATTCGTTGTGTAAGTTGCCTGGAAGTACGCCCGATATAATCAATGGATTTAGCAGTTGCCACAAGATATATAAGTCCAGTTGAGAATCCCTTTGAGAAATTATAAGTGATTATTGCTGAGAAATTCTAGACAAGGATGAAATAGTTTTCTGGAGTTTTCTTGATTATAATAATTTTACCTCTAATACCAGTTTATGACAAAAGCTATCTTGAAATTGTATCTTAAAATCATACACACATCTACAGGGAAATCTGATCATTCGATAAAGTATTAAAGTGCATTGTTTCTTACAAAACTATTGAAAACAGTTTGTAATAACTTTGGTATGAGTATTTTCCTGGAGCTAACTAATGGTGTTCCACAAAAATATGGTAATGCAAACTATATTATAAATTTATATTAACAACTTAAGCCAAAGGTTATAAACCAAAGTATTCGGGAAAATTAAACTGTGATGAATAATAATGATTAACAATCTTCACAACCTCGTAATGCAATTACCTGTGCTCACTAGTGACTAGCTTCGTGAGGAATCTTCCGCGAGTTCTAGTAGGAAGTCGTGACTAGTGAATTTCAACCTGTTCGGGTGTAGACAGTAACTACCGAAGACTATGTATGAGGTTGCGCAACTCCGCGAATTGATTAAGTTAGACATTAACACCGCAAGATGCCGGCTCAGTGGTCCGGAGGTTAGGCGTTCGTGCACAAGACCGAAGGTCCTGGGTTCGAATCCTGCGGGGTGCAGGAGTCGTGGGTGCGCACTTCTGAGGAGTCCCATACCAGGACGAAACGGCCATCCAGTGCTTCCAGGTTTCTAATGGTGGTCTAACACTGATCGATTCATGGTTTCAAAATGTTTATTAGGTTCAGAAATATATCCTAGACGACTGAAATTGCAGAAGACGACATTGAATACTCTTAAGATTCAAGAAGTCTAAGTGTAGTTTACCTACAATCTAAATAAAACCATCATTAGGCACATTACAATCGGTAATTGATAAACAATATAATTTTTTCATTTTCAGTTTCAACACATGTCTATTTTACAAAATAAAAATTTCGTTACATTATAAAATTGCTTGATATATCAACAGTTTTGAGTCTTACAATCAATAAAAAGAATATGAATTCATTTGTTGAGGGAAAAACATTCCATGAGATTTGTCAAATGAAATAGACAGGATGAGAGTGAAGAAATATTTTTCATTTCTAATTGGTTTTTTATCACAGCTCTACAGTAATATACATATGTTTTGCAAATCAGTAAAAAGACCATGTCAATTAGATAATGATAGTCAAACAATTTAACAATATAATAGTAACCTACATAACATTTGAAAGATTCAAGTTAAAATTAAAATGAACTCATATAATCAGTTAATTAATATGAAAAGTTGTATAACATTGTGAATAAGAATTGAAACTAGATGCAAGTACAAGTGTTTGGTTATTGATGAAATAATTAAGAAAAGTGATAACATTAGTATTCACGTAACGTGAGATTGGAATGGGAGGTTAAAATGTAAATGATTCGAATTTCAGAAAAGTGCAAAAGAAGGGAAAAAAGGTTTTGAAACATGTCACAGTATTTATTCAGAAATAACCGATTCTTACAGATAACTTCGGTTAAAATAAACTGTCTTCTATATAATATTTTGCCTACATTTTTAGGATTGTACAGAATGGTTGACTATTCATTTATTTGGTGGGGAAAAATCAAAGGACGCACAATCTCCTGGATCTTGTGGTTCAACGTATACAATAAATACGGACTCTTTGAAAGAGTCAGCAGATAAATTTCTCGGTGGATTAGCAATGGCCAATCTTGTGGCGTTAGCTTTCCATTTCTATTGTCCTGAACTTGCACCGGCTGAAGGTAGTATGTTAGTAAATTTGATCAGTATTGAAAATAAACACTTTTTCATATTTGTGCGAATAGTTTCAAAACGGTTGGGCATCAAGTTTTCAGAAGGCATGAAAAGGGTAATTTCACCCGTTAAAAACTCAGAGACTGAAATTAAAATAACCATAAGTTTTCGCTTCATAGTTTTAATTAAGCTTCGTCTGGTGAATACTTGCAAATCGAAATAAGATCCACAAAAATCTACTTACGAAACTCTTTAATTTTAAAATATTTGACATATCTATTTGACTGATTAGTGTAACATATTACTAGAACAAGAAAAACAACGTGAATTTATTTAATTTCGCAACTTATCATCAACTCCTTACAATATAAAATTAATGGTAGGAATCAAAATCTATGCAGTCATATTAGAAAAGTTCTCTTCTATGAAGACTAAGAAAACAGTAATAAATCTGCAAAAAATTATGACATATAGATGATGTGTTAAACAGCACGGAAATTCCAGAAGAAAATTTATGTCAACTAAATATTCGACTGTTTAAGCATCTCTTTCAATTCCTCCATATTTATTGCCCTTTTCTTCATTTTCATTGAGAGAGAAAATTTCTTATGTTATAAAGTATGTGCGTCGGTTCTTAAAGGATAACTATTTGTTATGTTTAAGTTATAAGCAGCAGATGATAAATCCATGAAACAAAATAAATTCAAGTTATTATGTGACATTTTTTCTTTTTTTTTTTGATTTGTTTAAATTATTCCACTGGAAAAATTGCATGAAATCACTAAATATTACTTGTGACGATTTTGTAGGTAACTTTAGTAGATAACCTAGTTTACGCAAAGTTAAATACTTAACTTAAATTTTCACTTAGCTTTGAAAGTAATTTCATTTATTGATGATAATCAGAACACACGTTGTACAAAATTTTTATTGTACCAAATTATACTCTGATAAAAGTGTTCTTGTTTCTGATCAGCTATTTTTGGCATGATATAAATATACTTCTAGTAGAAATGTGAAATTGTTAACTTCAAAGTAAAGAACGATGAATCACAAAGATTTTATAGATTTTACATGCTAGAATTGAAAACGATCATGATGACAGCCAAAAGAAACCATTTGTTTTGAATAGCTTTATCAATATTTTAATAAATGAAACTTTTTAGATTAAGTCAATGTACAGTCGAAACTATCTACTGCCAATCAATTGAATCATTTCTCTAATTTTATTTTTCAGAGTTTCTATTGAATTTTCCGTCAACTGGAGAAATGGAACCGGCAGCTTCACATCATAATGCTCGTGCTATTGCTTCAATATGTCAAAAGAATACAGAATTATACAATGTTTTGTTTTTGATGCCCGATTCATGTAATGGAAATTTGATTCGTTTAAGTGACACAGGTTCAACAACACTGAGCACATTAAATCTAGTTGGATTTTGTTCACAAGGTTTGGCTAGATCACCAATACATCGACGTTTACAGCATGCAGCAATGGCAGGTGAACTGTTTAGTTGGTTTACATCACGTACACCAAGTCGTGAAATAATTCCGATGATACCATCTGTCATAAATTGTACGGAGCATACGCATGAAACTAATACTGAACACTTTCAAGGTAATGTGCTACAACATGGCCCTAACTATACTGGTAAATGCTGAAAAACAAAATTCTATAGGTGGATCCATTTTTATCATTCTTCAAAAAATACAGACAATTAATCAACTTATACATGTCAAAATAATTTCATAAAATCTGAATTCGAGTGTTTTTATAAAAAAAAAGATCAGTCTACTTCAATTAGCTTAGGAGTCATTTAATTCCCTTTTAGTCTTGCAGATTAGGTTTTGTTAAGGTAGTCCACGCTAGTATTTGCTTGAAACAGTATTTAAATTGTATTATCGTGTGTTTCTTTTTAATATCACACCGAAATGTGATCACTAATTAATCATTATCGTTTCCAAAAAAATTTAATCTTCGCGTTTTGTTATTATTCGTTATCAATTCTTTATTGAAGGGTTAAATGACCTTCAGAAAAGAATTCAAACTGCTTACTAAATAATACTGTTACAAACTATGAACAAAGATACGTTGCGTGACCATCTTCTTATGAGATGATAATATACATACCAGACTATTATGGTCAAACAGTTCCCTATACTTACTAATTAATGAAAAGGAACAAACATCCTCTGGGCTGTACGAGTTTTCAGTAGATTGATATGTCTCATTGAATTCATCTTTAAACTGTAAACGAGTTATTCAAAGCGTGTTCTTAAGTTCTTTTAATGATTCGGCTGTTTTTTATGGTAAAGTTGAGAATTATAGTGAATTTCAAATGAGTTTAAAATTAATTTACTAGACGAATTCGAAGATTTGTTTGCAATAATCAAAACTAGATATGAAATGTCTTGCATCACGACAAGTTTGATAAAAATCAACAACAGAATTAAATTGAGATGTGTTGACGTGTTGGGCCTTTTTTTCTCTAACAAATGTCAGTTTTTTTTCATTATCATCTAAAAGTTGTGACAGGATAAACAAATGAAATTCGTAAATTAACTAGCAACTAAACTGTCCTATTTTTAAATGGAGTTTTGCTTATTCAAGTAAACTTAAATTTCTAAATCAGTTTTAAAATAAATGTAGTTTTTGTTTTTGATAGTCAATGATCATCTCTTTTGATATTATTAGATTTATTCTTCAGAAACAAAATAAAATTCCTATTGAACTGTTTGATGAGGGCGTTTACTCTACTGGGTTTAGGTTTGAACAATAATTTACCAATTAGTTTAGTTTTTTGATGAATCACTTTAGTTCTAGGTGGAATTGTTAATTGTGTACACGTTGATTGTTTCTTTAAATAATTAGGTAGAATTATACTGTTAATATTTTGAGAATAAAGGAAAAATTATGTCAAAATAATTTGTAGAGATTTGTAGTCTCCTAATGTCGATATTGTAGACTATGACTAGTCAGTATCAACTGATATTTGTGCATACATTGCCAATCACATTGATATTGTTTTTAAACCTAATCCAGAATAAATTGATGTGTTTCAATTTGTAATATCAGCAACGGAAAATCACAGACTCTGAAACATAAGTTTGTTCCTGTTAAAAAAATATTGGTGGCTATCTGGGCTCATTAGTTTAGTGTATGGCAAGTCAGTATTTGAAATCATATGTCCTAGGTCCTAGTTTCAGTATAAACATTAAAAATGAATTCCAAACGTTTCAGGCTAACAAGTTTCGAATAAGATTTTGACTTACTTGTAGTTCAAAAAACCGTAAAATAATCCAAAGTTTTCTCAGATAGTGAGTATTCTTGATGAAGGGTTTAACAGTGCATTCATGATAATATATCTACTAAATCACTTTAAAACCATATTACCTTATAATTTTAAGTGTTACTAATTTTATTCAAAAAGCCTTCCTATTCATAATCAAGTTTGCTATGTCTAGGTAAAATGAATTAAGTCGATTGTTTGTGCCAGTTCAATCCGATGTTTCGAATTTTTCGATGCGTTGTCATTCTGTTTTATTACGTCACACCGTTCCGTTTAGTGTTCGAATGTGATTTGAAGATAGTGACGTTAACTGTGTACAGGTTTTTTTTCTTTTAATAAAAGTGCAGTTATTTGAAGTAGTCATATTTTGTGAGGCTATTCACATGCCAAGGTTATTTCTGTGTATAAAATTGTGTTTTGTAGTAATAGACAATGAAAATAGAATGAATTTTTTTGGTTAAATGTTCAACATAGTTCAACGTTTGATAACACTTTTAAAAAACTGGTTACTAGATAAGATGAATAATTAAAGTGAATAATTTTACTCAAAACTTTCAAGATACCAGTATGTGTGTGTTAAATTTGAATGAACACAGTATATACATCTTATTGGGTATTTTCTCAGTGTAGTAAGATGAATATTGAACATTGATAATAATTTTTTTTTAAGCATTTATATACATAAATGATATAAGTTGACATGTTACACACACACACACACACAATAAGATGTTTTCATTCGTCATTATTTTTCATTTAAAATGTATATAAAGATTTAAACATAAAAGAATTCACTGGATCGAAAGATATGACAAGTGATACTGTTAATCATCAGAACAATATGATACCATTAGATCAAATCAATATTAATAATTCAACTTCTGGTAGAGGAACCTTTCGACTTTATGAAAAGCTACAAAGATTTCACAGACAAGAACAACAACAACAACAACAAACAAATCAAAAACCACAGACAAGTTATTTCATTCGTTCTAAGACAATACGTTTAAACAAGAATTTGTCGGATGTAGAAAAATTGAACAGTAAACTTAATGAACTTTCAACCAAACATTTAATTGATTCAAAAACTGGAGGTATTTATTTTCCGGATGATACAAATGATACGTTGAAAAACGAAGAGGATAAACAATTTGATGTAGTAAATGGAAGTGAATCACAAAATGCATTGACAAAGTAAGCTAAAACTATGTTTTGGATGGAAATTTAATGCTACTCCTTATGTTGCGATAACATTGACAGATGGTTAATAGTTAAACCATTTTACTTCTTAACCAGTGCTTAATATGGTTTTGAAAAAAATGCCGAAGAAGCAATAATAATACTAATAGTTTGTTTACCTTGTATTTTGTGTGTGTAGTTGCGTTCAAGATGTCTGTTAGTGTTTAAAACTTTAGGTTATAGGGTAATAACATTTCCAAACTATGATTTTTCTAAATTAAATCTTTTGATGAAGTATTCGCGCATGTTTCAGAAACCAGTACAATTATGAAGTAGAGGGAAACGAAACAAACTTTCGACTTGGTATAACAAGATTAGTTAATATGATACTAGAGGTATGCAGGTTTTTTTCCTACATTTAGGCTTGCTTAATCATCATACACAACAATCAGAAAGCTCAAGGCAGTAAATTTTACTCACATGATGTTCAGTTATCAAGATTGGACAAAGAAATTATTTTCACTGAAATAGACAACTTAAGAATAATATGGGTCAAAAATTAAGATCAATATCACCAATTTATGGTGATTAAAAGATTGATCATTAAACAGAAACTGAAATGATTTAATAGATTTCAGTCTTTAAAAGAGTAAAAATGGTGCATGGTATTTAGTCTTGAAAATAACTCTTGATCTCATCCGTGTACCTACCAATTATCGAGCATCATCTTTAAAAACGTCTCACGTTACTAATTATTTATATACTATCACTTATTCTGACCTCCTAGATATTCATTTAACTGTTTATTTCTGAATTTACTAAACCGTTATATGACTGACATTATCGTCTTTACTAATTAATATACAAGAACATAAAGTAGGGACTGGTTTGTTGGAAAATTTATTGTGTAAAATAAGGTGAGATGTATGATTTTTTAGACAGTTACTGGAAATAAGAAATTAAATAAATAAGGTGTACATTTATTCGGACAGGTTCGGTTAGTTTCGTGACAGAAGACATTTCTGCCATTTTAAATAACTTCACATCAGAGAGGTTTAGGAACTTGTGCAAAGTGTAGCCTCAGTGCATGAAAATGACACACTGTACAGTCTGTTTGTGGATTTTTGGATAATGAATACCGAGAAATGTATACTTTGTTGATCAATCATCTGTTGTTCTGTATTTTATAAGACTGTTTAACTTCTTGTTGAGCTAAACGTTGTTTATACTTAAAGCAAATTAAGTGCACTTTTTTTATCAATGGCGTTGTAAAAATGTAGGTAGTTGAGCCGTTATGAAAATGCTGTCAAATATTATTAATATGTAATCATTCAAAAATATATCTCGTTACAATGTAAGATCATATGTTCTTTGAGATGCTATGTGTTGTCTATATATGTGGTATTCACTAGCAGTAAGTATGAATGAAAAGTGATATGTTTTGAAAACTCTTTGATAATTCACTGAGCAATAAATGAGTGCTGCTTTTAAAGAGCGGGCTGCTTGTATAAGTAAATATAAACTTATTGCAATTAAGGAATATAACTTGGTGACATCATTTCTGATGAACATGTTAAAGAATATCGAGCTATACTAAACATTCTACTTGACTTTCACATGTGAACCATTTCATCCTACCTAATTGCGTAAAAATGAAATAGTGAATTTCCTGAAACCTTACAATTTAGTACTTTTAATAATTTTCTAAAATTAATCGCTGTGTCCATTGTATAATAACGTATTACTCTGAAATCTTTGTCGATTTACTCATACTATTTCACCTTAAGTATATGAATTTACCTAACAGTATACAGTTTTTAAGAAATATTGTCTACTAAAATTGATACAAACATGTCCACTTGTAAATGATAAACATTAGTTCATTATTAATGACAGTTTTGACGAAGAATCCTTTCTATAGTTTTCGAATAATGAAAATACCTGTATATTCCCATGAATATGTTTATTGCAACATAGAAAATAAGTACTTCTAACTATAAGTTATACATTTCAGTTAAGAAGCATATATATATAAATTATTTTAGTCGTATTTCAAGGTTTAACCATTTTTATTATTTTATTTTGACGTTGTTTTCATTCATTAACAAATTGTAGATGGAATCCCTTAGAAGCATTATTTAAGACCAGAATGTTCAGTGAATCCAATGAGGTGTTTAACAGTATTCCATTTACTGAAAATCATGTAAGTATACAATTTATGAAGTTTTTACAATATTTCCCAAATGATGTCGCATATATTTATTGAAGCTGTATAAAATATCACACCCATAGTATATGTGATAAGATAGAGTAGTAATTCAAAGCGGTGAGATTGTGGTGAAATCACCGAGACTTGGAAGCGAAGGCAATTTTACTTTTTAGTATTTGAGCATACAATTAATAGTTATCATTAGTGTTATTAAGTTAAATATTTTTTTATGCTTTATAGATATTTAGTTTAACTAAGTTAAAAATATTAAGGAATGAACTTATATTAATTTTCTTCTATCTATACTCATATTTATGCAGGTAGCTGAGACAGAATGTACCGAGCATCATTGTTCAGAAGAAATGTCATATTATCCAATGGTTGACTATGAGTCGCCAATCACAACTCAAGGTAATATATTAAATTATAAAATTACGAATGTTGATACTGCTCATGTAACAACTATAACAAAATCTCAATATTTGAAAGAAGTTCCTTTTACAGATGAAGCACAAGCAACTTGTCATTCACAAGCAATTAATTCTAAATATTTTAGACAAAGTAGATCATTGTCAAATAACAGAATGATGCATGCATGTTTCTCTTCTCGGCAAAAATCTCAAAAATATGGAGATTTCGATGCTTCAGGAAGATCAAGTTGTCAAACTAACTATTCTAGAAAGCAACAAACTGACCATCATGATAAAAGCAATCGGTTTTTCAAATGGTTTCATCGACCTTATAGAAAAAAGCATGATTTAACATCTTATGATGTAGATGGTTATTCAGATTCTGATCTAAATACTGTATATTATAGAGGAGATAATTCAGAATCTTCATCAACCGATTATTCCAGCAGTTCAGAACTAAGTAATGAAATTATTGATGACATTGTATGTTCAAATTATTCAGAACAGAAGCATCATGATCGTCATCCAGTTTCAAATGATAATACAGATATAGGAAAAACCGTAACTCAAAACAAATTACGAAAACCATTTAATCGTAAAAATATTAAGCGAAAACGAAGAAATATTTCAGAAACTGTGACTCAGTCGTATTTTTATGGCTGCTTTCCTATTCAACATCAAGTTCACCGTGTTTATCCTTACGAAACTTCAAACCAAAAAGTCTACGTCGATATTCATTGTTCACCTTGCTCTTCAGTACAACCAACATGGATTCATTCTCCATTTATTAAAGGAACCTTAAATCCTATTCCATTTAATACAACAAATCAGCCTACATCTCCAGTAATACCACCATTACATAGTACAAGTCCACTACCATTTTCGCATTCAAATAATACAGATCAGCTTTTATTATATAACTTAAATGAACAAAATGTATCACTACCAGAGTCAACTAATCCTAATCAGAATATAATAACAGAGACACTAGTATCAACTGAAACAGCCAGTTTACAAGCGGAAGTAAGTGAAAACATGTACATGATTCATTAATATGTTGCCACTGATTAACCAGACAATGTGATAAAAATTTATGAAAAATTCGAATCAAGTAGATTTCTTTGTTGTTTTTATTGGTAGTTTTACAATAGGTAAAATATTCGTGGATGACATGATTTCAGTTAAAACAGTGAATATGTGTTATATAGTTTTAGAGTATTTCTGATTTCAATGCACCATCGTCTAATATCATTAATGAGAGCAACCTACCATACCCTAGACTTTTGGATTAAACTTTGAAAAATCTATTCGACAAATGTCGTTCATAGTGATTCTAACTAGAGTTCATTTTAATTTTCAATCTTCTTTTTATTTCAAAAGCATCCTTACAAGAAGTAATTTAGTCTCACTTTAAACAAACATTATTGCAGCCAGCAATATACGAATACGTATATATGTAAATGTAATGCTTGCTCTTGGTCAGTAACAGGCCGTAAACGTATGTGTCATGTTCAGTGATGCAAATACGCGAAGACACCACGGCCTTTTGGAGAAAAATGATGTGACTTCATATATTTCAGAGGTTTGTTCAATGAATGGAACACCATATTAGTAATCGAACGGTCATCGAAGGCAATATCTGGTTTACAGAATTTGAGACTTGGGAAAACTGTTTCTTTGTGTAGTTTCAGATGAGCCCGAAATTAAAATCCAAAATTCCCCCCTCGATTGTGAATAATGTTGAAACACCAGTTAAAATAAGATATGATATCAAATACCTTAGCATTACATACCTTTTTCAGTATTGACAAGTGAACAGCCTCAATTGCTTTCCTACTTTTATTACGCCTACAACGTAAAATTTTATTAAATCCTTTATTATTAACATGAGAAATGTTTTATTCGAAGAGCTATTTTGCATCTCCTTATTAGATTTGAATAAACAACTATTAATTTAATATGAAAAATGTAATAAAACATTTTATCATCACCAAAGTCTAGTTCACAGATACGTTTTACATTAATCTCAGAATAATTTCAGGTAAAACAACAGCTGTATACGATGATTTACATTATAACCTAAATCATAGTTAGTTGTTGAATGTTCGATCTCAACTTCATCAGTTGAGGTGTTTGGGACATGTGTCACGTATGCCTAACCACCGACTGTCTCGACGAGCTATGTTTTGTGGTGTAGGAGTAGGTTGGAAGAAATCTAGGGGCGGTCAGACCAAAACATGGCAGATATTCATGACCAGTGGACTGAGTCATTTTGGTAGATTTAGGCTACCAGGTTCGGGTCCGCGAGACGAAAGTCACCAATGGTTGAAGACCTTGAGCGACATGGCTCAGAATCGTTCGCAATGGCTCAGGTGCATCCACTCTTGGTGTGCCTTTTAATTAATTCCTCATACTCTCTATCTTTCTCCTTCTAAATTAATCTCACTGAATTATACTTTTCGAATTATATCTTCGCTCCCTAATCTTATCCACTATTGCTAATAATTCTACTATCACTATCACTCTTGGATTTGAACTGACAGTTGCGTCTCTGTGCTGACGTGGTATGGCAACCTGAACTGATGTACTTATGTACGAAGTTCTGCGTTGTATCTGTCTGTCTGTCATTGAATATTTGATCTTTTTACATTCTCTTCGCTCATTTTTACTAAAACAAATAGCCCAGAAGAATGAATACTTTCGAAAAGATAATCAAAATCATGAATGTTTATTAGTCATGACATTTGGTGATACTGTCTGCTCGATGTAGTTTCGTATATCAATCATTTTATAAGTTTTACAATTTTGAAAGGTTTAAATTCAAACTTTTGTTGAATTTACCCATGAATTAGCATGAACAGTGGCGTGGCATATGAATCAGTGATTACTTTTAGTTCATTAGATTGAATGCTCTGAATAACAAATAAATCCTTTATTCTAAATAATGAATATTGCTTTTAGTCAATAAATAGTATTAAAAACTTTTTATTTACTTATTTATAATATAAAAATTCTCAACAACTCGATTTCAATGACTATAATACATACATACACACATAATGACAAAAAAAGTTAATCATTTTAAAAAGCTCATCGAATAAGATTTTTCAGGTAAGTTTAGAACTATAAAAATTAAAAAATGAATTCGCCAAAAAATATGAAATATAAAAGCAATCGTCAAATGACAACTAATCAGAGTCATCTATGCTTACATTTTCACATAACCAGCCAGTGAAACTATAATGAAATATGCAAAACATTTGAGTTTTTCTTTTTTTTTTAATTTCGAACAAAAGAAGTCACTCTAGGACATTTCTATTTATAATGTATTTACATATGTACGTAGGTATGTGGGTTTGTATGTATGAGCGAGTGAACTCTCTCCATGTTATAGAATGAATGTCATACATTCTTGAAATAAAGAATGAATAAAATTTTCTCAAGACAAATAATCTATAATCGGTTACCTTTTTATAATACATGACCAATATTTATGATTATTTAGTCAGATTATGGAATTTTTTAAAGATTTTCTAGAATGATTGTTATGTTACATTGAATAGAATGGAACATAGTATTGAGTTCACATATTGAACTACTGTTAAGTTTGTCAAGTAAATATCATACTAATTTCTTCCTTTTAATCATCTTGTTTAAAATGTGTTGACATTATATTGTTGATAAAATAACACAACCAAAAATCAAGATGAAAATTATTCTTAGAAAATGAATAATTTTACTGTAAGTATAGGAGGTTTGTGAAAATTGTTAAATATTATCGGGATTACAAACCAGTTTGAATTAGATAGCCTTTTAGAACTAGGAAACACTAGACGACAGCTTCGTTTTAGTATGTAAATATCCTCAACAACCTTCACCGACAACCCGACCGCAGATCGAATCCGGGAGCTTCCGGTCTTGCAGCGAATGCTTTGCCTATAAACCACCTAGCCACGATCTTGTGAAATATTTTTACTGTTCTAACTTTAATCGATTCATGATGCTAAGCAACTATTTCCCACTGGTGATTAAACTTAGACATGGTAACTGTTTTAAAAAATGCCAAGTCATCGGTCTGAAAGTAAAGAGCTTGTTGCCAACCTTGAAGGTTGGTCATGTAAGGAGGAGGAACATCATACTAGGACGAAAGAGCTCAGCCAGTCAGTCAGTTACAGCGTAGAACTTTGTACGCACGTACATCAATTCAGGTTGCCATACCGTATTAGCACGGAGACGCAACTGTCAGTTCAAACCGCATAGTGGCAGAGATAGTAGAAGTATTAGCGGCTTATCATCTCAATAAGTTTACTTTACTTTGTTTTAAAGTTTTATTGTTTGTTTTAAACTTTGAATAATATTATCGTCATTTATATATTGAAGTGTGCGAATCACTTGTTGTATGGTGGTTGTTAAAATATTTCCTATAGTTTTCCTATTATTTTCTTACATTCAATTACATCTTACTACACTCATCAGATAGATATTATTAACATCAAATAAAACTGACCATACTAAATTGAATTATAATAATGATTCAACTTTATTAAATACAATTATCCTACTTTTTAATGATTTATTATCACAACAAGACCATAATCACCATAACTAACACCTAGGCATCAAAACTTATGTATTCATGCTAATTAACTATGCATTTCTACGGATTCACTTGTTTTCTATATTGTAAACTAGCTGGCAAAGCAAAGTTTCGGAATTACGCCTCTGTATGGAGCTCAAAATTAAAAGACTTTTAGGATTCAGGGGACAATTTGACAGTTTGTCTATAAGCGTTCAAATACAAGGTTTAGCATAAGGTATCGGTTAGTTTAAGTGTAGAGAATAAGTATTTCATTCTATTACAATTTGATTATCGTAAAAAAGTTAGCTTTTAACATGGGTAAACAATAATTTCGAAGCTATAAAAAATTTTATAAAATAAATCAAGGAATGGAGGGTTGAACTGTTTTTAATGAAATAGGAATAGGTCATAGGTTTACATGATCAGTAGACTTAATTAACTGTAAAACTATGATAACAATGATCTCTATTTCTGATTCACGATCAGTCAAAGAACACCGAACGAATCAATTCATCGTTAAACATTTCATCACGTAATATTAACAGATATTTTTAAAAAAACATACAAGACGATTCAAGTTATCATATTAGTTGTCATTTTAATCAATATAGAGATCGTTTGGATCAGGATTGTTTACATTCAATAAATAAGTTGTTGTACGAAGAATAATGTTATTCACCTTAAAATTGATCACTCCTCTTATTGTGTTAAATAAAAACAAATATCACGTGTTTCTTTTCTCCTACTTGAATTTATTTATGAATAAACTTTCATTAAGTATACAACTCCGGTGGTTCTGTTTATTATTTTTTTTTGGATGAAAATGAAACCAAGTGTGAATCAAGACTTTTAAATAGTATTTTTCATGCCGGTTAAACAAATGACATGATGAGTCTAATTTAAATAACTGAAGTAAATTTTAAGCTTTTAATTCAATGATTAAAATTAGAGTGCTTAGATGAATAAGTCACGGCAATATTTTTTTCAAATTAACTGATTTACATCAAGGTCAAAGTATGATCAACGTTAAATAAATTGAAGCATTTTACGATCTAATTATATTGAATGTGAAAAGTCAAAGGCTTTTCTTATTCAAGGCATATCAGCAAGACTTATTTCCAGTCAGAAAGAAAATGTTCATTTTATTTGAAATTTCAGTATTTGTAGAAAACTTCCGCCAGAACAAGTTTTTCTCAATAAAATTTCACCTATTATATTTTTGAAAAAATATTGACTATATGATCAGAATTATTACATTTTCTATTTATTAAGGATTGCGTTGCGTTAAATTCCTTGTGTATGGATTATTGGTCTATCGAATGATTCCCAATTCCATATTATTTGAGATTAAACACTTTATATAAATGTTTGTGTACTACTTATACATGGGAAATAAGATAAACTGTTATTTAACATAGAAAATTTACATTTTATTCTTCATTGTCTATCGATTTTTAGGACTGTTCACTTGCATTAAATACAACGGTTCAAAATCGACCCGAGTCCAGGGCACATTCAGTAACACAACATGAAATTATACCTGAACTAGACACAACTACATCAATTAATTCTCCCACAACTCAAGTACCTGCGTGTTATTCTCAGGCTGAATCATTTTTCATTTCTCTTGAAACTAATCCGTCCAGTGTATCGAGTACAATTCATCATAAACATAATTTGAAGTCTAAATCTAAAAGTGGCTCTTTAACAAATCCGAAATCAGTAGTACATAATCTTAATGGATTAAAGTATTCGAGGGCTTCCAGTAATGGAGTTATTAATAATCTAGATAGCATGCGCTCGGAACCAGTTAATACGATTATCTCAACCGCACAAAGGAAAATTCCGCATTTATCCGGTTCTCATGTAAGTGTAACCAGACTAAGTGATTTATTTGCTTTGGTCATACATTCTCAATTTTCAAGTAATTCGCTGCATAATTTCAAACATTTCAACATACTTGTGTATAGCTAACTATCTCAATAAATCAACTTTCATTTTATAGCCGTTTATGATTTATTTTTTGCATTTTGTTAATCAGTAAAATGACAGTTGTATTGACATTGTTGCTAAAAACATTTATCAATGAAGAAGTTATTATTGTTTCATGTGTTGAATATGAACTGATTAGTGATGATTAATTTGTAATTTCTGTTTACAAAACGGTCATTTGTTGAAATGATCATCACAAGTAAATAAATAACATAAAAATAAAATTCATTTCACTAAATGAAATCATTAATAAAGAAGGGACAAAAATCATAGGGCAAAAATTATTTGTTTTATTCTAACCGTAAGACTTATTAGCAGCGCAAAATTATAAATCTGTACAAGTTGGAATTTAGACCGCTCTAGTTTCAAGTCTGATAAAACACCTCTGTGTATCACTAAATCAAGTATACTCTCCAGAACCTACTGTCTCCGGCAACAAAACAGCTGTCACAGTCAGTCCCCAAAGCATGTCATCAGATGAAGATGTAATAAATAGTGGATTTAGAGAAGGGATTGGAAGCTAGACAAAGAGTTATGCATGAAAATACAAACCATAAAAAATCACAGAAGTGCAAATTATCATGAAAAAGTAACAGTTTTAAAGTCTAGTATTTAATTAGGTGGGAAGAAATAGTAATTATCAGCGTAATATTTGATACTCATTAAATACAATTTATTCAGTGATTATTTTATATAATTGAGTAATTCTACTCCCACCGCTAAACCGAGCGCTGAGAGATCATTAAAATTTGAAAATATCAGGTTCAAAATTAATGTCATTGGTTTAATGTGAAGAACAACTGGTGAATAACGTAATACCTAGTAAGTCGTACTTCATTACTTTATGTCGATTTAAAATAGCCTAGTTGGTCAACTTATTATGCCTTTTATCAACTTCAGTTTGTGGATCTAGATAGTATCACTAGTCTTTTGAAAAAAATTGTAAATCACAGCCGATTACACAAACGAGTTGTTCCTCACTGTCAATTGCACCGTGTACATCAGACATAAACAAGTTAACATAATTTTGTACCTTCATCAAGGTACTCACATTCTTAAACGTTAGATTTTCTGCAGTCTCTTGTTTAATAACGCAAGACTTATCTTGTTATTGCACTTTCTTGTATCATCTATTTTCATTTGGAATCCTAGTAAAAAATGAAATTGTTAAAAATCCATTAAATTTGTAGAGAAACACATCAGTTTCTGATGCTACTGAAAAATTAGAAAATAACATTCACACCACTACTGGTCACTCTGTAAATAATTGTAAATCTGAACAATTAGAAAGCAAACCAGAAGAAAATAATCGTCCGAGAAAGGATAGTATTTTGCCGGTAAGTTAAAAACTTTTTTCCCAGACTATTTCTAAAAAAACTTTGAACATTTATTTGAAGCAGCTTTGTAAGCGTTTGTTAAAATCATAGATTGGTATTTATCATTAGGTGGTTTCATTTTGGATATAACTGCTGAGGAGTCCTATATTATAGGATGAAACATCTTTTTCAGGTGCCTCCACATTTTCTTAGATACTCTAAATGATAAGTCTTTGGTGAACATTGCCTATGAATGTTTCATGTATTAATGCTTCAGTTCATTTACTTCAAGATCAACTGGTCTCCATAATAAGCACAACATAATTTTAATGTATGAATTCAACTATAAATTAAATTTAATAAGCTTAAAAGTGAATTCGTCATAAATTTGCCTAAATCAATTTTAACTATTGATTAAACACATGTATTTAATCTGTTTAATGTTCAGAACAATTTAGCTGAATCAACATTTTTATATTGCATTATGTACGTATTTAAGTTTGATTGATTTCTAACTTCTCATATTGATCTTTCTTCTAATCTAAGGGAAGTTTTTCACGTGATCGATTGCCACCACGTTCATTTAAATATTGTGAGAAAAATGACCTTTAAGAAATATTGTATTTGCCTAAAAAATGTACAATGAAACAATGAATTTTGATTGCAAACTTCTGTCATCTATACACAGGTGTAACATTGAATTATAGTTTTTTTAAATCAACAGTTATATATTTAAATTGACATTTATATCACGTTAATTAATCAATGTCCATAAGTAATATATATATTCTATGAAACAAAGTTAACCACATGATATTTTACAGTCAGATAAAATCTTTAACACTGAAATGAAATATTGTTAATACATTACCTGGAAAAGCTTAAATTAATCTGTGACTTTATGAACTCATCAAAAGAACCTATTCATTCTGACAAAGTCAGCAGTTGAAATAGAACGGTTTTTTTAGATTGATCGTTTTGTGTTGTCCTAAGTGAGAACTACTACGTTTGACTGATAACAAGATTCTGCAAACAACAGTAGCACAATGTAGTTAAAATGTGGCAATATTATTTTCTACTTACAAAGGATTAGACTGGTTATATATATATATATATATATATATATATATATATATATATATATATATATATATATATGATTTCTCATTGATTCATACATACTCACTGTAGAGAAAAATCATCTCACCCAGTGCTAACAAAGTGTAGTATTTCAGTGTTAAAATCACTAGTGGGTTTGACATTATTTTCCTAAATAAATGACAAGATATTAAAATTTGCATAACACACTAACTACAGTACGATGATCATCGACTATTAAGAAGATCTAGACAAACATTTTATCACAATCTAGGACTAGTTAACAGTCCACATTCGTTTGAAGTTAGTTATGTAAACCATTTGATTTAGGCTCAGTGCTTTTATGTTCAGGTAGTCATCTCGTTACTCAACAGCTCTGGGTTCTATCCTTGATGGAATTGTAGATGCGCACCTCTGAGGAGTCCCATACTTACACAAACAAACTGTCCAATGCTTCCTGGATTTCAGCGGTTGTCTGGCTAAGATTAATCTGGGAAGCAGATTGTAAAGTCAACTTCCTGTAATAATGGATAAAGAGGCTATATTAAAAATTCCAATCAAGTTAAAAAGATTAGATTCAATGTTGTAAATAAATATCATCTGTAACAGAATGGTCAAGAACATCGAAACAGCTGGATGGTACTTTAGTGATTTATGTAACTAATGTGTAATGACAATGAAATATCGAATAATTTAATTATTGTTATCAAGAGAAAAAATACACTTGTTATATTATACATTGAACTTATCAAATCTTGAGTGTTGATCCTGATCAATATTTGACTGATTAATTCTGTGAAAATTACACTTCTGTTGCCTCTTGTTATCACTCAAAGTAAAACTCATTATTCACTACGTCAATAAATAAATGTCTTCTTGCGCATGTCTTCCAGTCTTTGAAACACTTTAATTGCGGGATAAAACCAGATTCGACACTCTTCTCCTAAGTAGTATCTTTTGGAGGAACGCTCCTCTGCATGCTACTCATAATCCACGTTTTCAGTAGTATACAACACAAAAGTAGTGCATTCTTAATAGAAACTGATACGCCCATGAGGGACTATTAGTGTGATGTCATAAGTTAGCAATGAAAAATTTCAGATTTGACTAACAGTTGGTAAGTTCAACTTGAAATATTTAATAATTTCCTTCAACTAACATAAGAAATCGGTCAACAATTGTTTCTGCGATAGTTGTTGTTTACGATTCTAGAATATGAATAATTTAAGAAAGTACATACTACTTATAAAGCTTACAATAATATAATTCAATTCAAATGCAGTATGAAGCTCTAGAATATAGGGAAAAGTTTGGCACCTTTTTAACCGAAAACACTAATCTTGCTTAAATATTTTTTATGACACAAAAATTATGCCGGCATTTATTTTTAAAAAAAATTTCTTTCTAATTATTTTCGAATAGAGTTATTTAGAGAAACGATCTATGAAAGCATATGAAAAGGAAACAAATAATACGGAAAATTCTCGACCAGTTTCGGGAAAATCAAAAACAACTTCAAAAACAAAAGAAAATTCATTTAAAATCAATGAAAATGTAAATACCTCAGATATGGTAGCTTCAAATAACCACAGAAGAACAGCTAGTGTCTCCCGAACAATTGGAATTGTTAAGCCTAGTTTTACTGGAGGTAACAATCAGAAAGTATTTTTTCTTTCTGTAACAGTACGATTGTATGAACACGTTATTTGTGTTTCTCTCTTAGTCTGTCAAATCGGTTCACTGAAGATCTTTTTACTATGACTAACACTAATTATGAAAGGAAGCAGACGGATCTTAAAAATGTGTTTAAGAAAGAGTATGGTATTTGGACCTGTTAATACGATAAATTGATCAGAATGGTTGGTATTTTCTACTAAAGATATTTTCTGATGTAATTATGTCCTTCGCTTTATGGACGAATGTATGTTTCAATCAAAAAATTATACAACTTTCCAGAATCTATCAATAATTACATTATAAAGCCAGAAGACCTTAATTATCATGTTTTTATTTGACTGACAGGTTCATGCGAAATTTGTTTCATTATTTCAGTATTAAAATGAGTGTGACTGAAAATTCTGAGTACTGAATTATTTTTACTTGGTTTATCTTGTTCACTATGTAAACACAAGTTTGTTTTGTTTATTAACATCTAAGAACATTCAGCTATACCCATATTATTAACTGTCATTGGAATGAGATATAAGTAATAGACAGATACTCTGTAGAAAGTATTTTCATTTATCAAGTCATTCAAGACTGAAAATAAAAAGTCTTTATTTCAAATAGAATACGCAAATTATTTTGGTATGTAACTTTTCTGTGATATTCAGTGGGGGTATGATAATTTGAGCAGAACCAAATGTAATTAATATGAAAATTGTATTTATATTGTCCTATTGGGAAGTCATGACTGTTGAATTAGAGAAGATAGATAAAATTATATGTAGTTTGCGTTTTTCAACATAAGGAATAGATTTTAACAATTGGATCCTTGGTGCCGAAGTATTTTGTCACCTTTCAAACTCCATGGTTTCGTGTATCACCTCATTTTTGGTTATGCTTAAGAACTGTTAAGCAATTATGAAATATTTAAAATCTCACTTCATAGGCTAACTCTAATTAAACAAACACTTGGAACCAGGAAACATCAGACAGTCGTTTCGTCCTCGTATGATACTCCTTAGCGATACAAGTCCACTACCCTACAAGACAGCAAAATCAGGATATTTAGGAGTCATTGTGATTTCTCCACTTTTAAACCATGGAGATGACATTTGATAGTTCATGACTCTTTAGTCGATTCCCTGTATAACGTAAGCATTATGCATTATCATTTATGATATTTATGCGACACCCTATATGCTTGGGATATCCACTTGTTAGAACTACAACTCCGAAAGTTATCTCTCGTTGTCTGTCATCACTTGGCATCTGATAATTGATATGATAAGGTGTTATAAGAATAACAGCTTTTTGGTCTCTCGCTTAGTTTTCTAATGTTTCTCTACCTCCATTAAACTGCTACAATAAATTACAAATTAAATATATAAACATCCATGTTACAATCATGTTTTAGACTAGGAATAATCAATTAGTTTTGCAGTTTATTAATTTAGTAAATAATCTTCTAATCTTTAATTTTTGTTGATAAATTGACTACTTAACTTATTTTTTTTTATAGGCCGAAGAAGATATGCACAAGATGAATTATCTTTATTAAATGTGAAATCACAAAGTCATACTATTGAAAATGAACCTCCGAGTGATTTAAAATTATTTGTTCAACTACAAACTAAATCAAATCGTCGATCTATTTCAAATGCATTAAATTATTGTTGTTTAGCAGGACCGGTAAATGAAATTATGAAACGGACTGCACTTGAAGTAAGTCAATAATAATAATAATAACAGGTTAGAATTCTTTGCTTTTTATCTGAAAGTTAACAGCGTATCATCGTTAGATTGGATTATTTTACATTCTAATAGTCTACAGCTAGCTATGTACTGCTGACCATTGATTTTTTTTTCTAATTAAGATTTATTCATTGTGTAATGTAAGTAAAAGATTTTATTCTTTCATCATTACAATCAACAATATTGTCTGAAATTTGCAACGATTTGTCTTATCATATAGTCTCAGTGAAAGATTATCACTATTCAACAATGAATATCTCTATATACTCTAGAAATAGTGGCAGGAACTTAAGTTTTCATTGATTTAATTAGTCCGGCTGTCTGCTTTGATCATTTACTATGAACAAATAGGAAGTGTGTATTTGTTGTTATAGCCCAGTTTAATTGTTTAGAGAATTTTTATTGATTAAACCACAAGTTGAGACCTCATTACATCCGCTGAATTGAATTTATTCACCGGAATATTATATGTAGACCTCACTCGACAGTTGTAGCCTATCATGTAGATGAAGTGTGTATTAATACTGTTAATCACGTTTTACCTAGTAGACTGATAGTTTTCTGACTAACGGCATTTCGGTTAAAATGTATCTATGAGACTAGCTGAAATTCAAACGGTTGTAGTCCCGGAATTCCATTCATGAATACTCTATATGATTATGATTAACTTTTAGTTTGTGAATCAGAAAACGACAAATATACTCAAGAATATATAGTTTCAAAAAAAAATGTCTTTAACAATTTTATTTTCTAAATCATGAACATAGTCTAACTATGACTGAAGATGAATCAACAACAGATACACTAAAGAGTTGTTCATGCAGCAATATGAAGTTAAATTCCTATTTTTATTTCCATTTTACTAGTCACTTGTGTAAGATGTATTCATAATAAAATAATAAGATTATAATAACAACAATAATCATAATAATACATGTGTATAAATACATTAGGGAATTTTCATATAATTAGCATTACACATCTGAAATCATCAATCAATCACTGTTAGACCACTATTAGAAACCTGCAAGCACTTGATGGCCATTTCCTCCTGGTATGGTACTCATCAGCAGTGCTCATCCGTCCAGTGCTTCCAGGTTTCTAATGGTGGTCTAACAATCATTGATTGATGTTTTCAATGTGTGAAACTCTAATTGAAAAATTAATATTGCATTGTGACTATAGCTAATAATCTTTAAACAACTGTAAACCTCTAAAAATACGTAGAAGCTAGAAAGAAGATTTATTTCCTTGCAATCTACACATTGTATTATTTTTAACTATTTTTATCATGAAAATTCATGATAAAAAGGAGACAAGAATTTCGTTCACAGTCAAAACACCTGTGAGTAAATGTTAACCACTACTAAATATTACAGTAACCTGTTTTAAAATTTTGTTTCAATGACTCAGTGCTGACTTCGAAACATTTTCAACATTTAACCAGTTTAAAAATGGAGCTAATAGTGTCTTAAAGCGTTAATTATTCAGATTCATTCAACTGTTTTTTCTGATGATTGAATGTTAGCTTTTAGGAAGTTTGGAGTAAATGCACAGGGGACATCACTTAAACTGTTCACTATCTTATTCACATAAAGTGCTGATGAAATATTTTAACTAGAAAGTTTGGTACATGGCGGTAGTGTATACGTTGAGTGCATATTATGCTACGGTTCAAATTGATTGGACAATCAACACTACTAACTAATGAATACAATCTAGGCTTTCTAAAAGTATTGTGATGGTTGCAAGACCTAAAACTATACAATTTATAGGGGGTTTCATATTAAAAAAGAAACTACTTCCAAGTAATTCCTAACTTTTTTGGGGATAGTACCTAAAACTAAGAGTACAATCTTGTTAAAATCAATACTTAATATTTCGTCATAAACAGAACTTCTGGTAAGTGAGGCAGGTTCACTATGAGATTATTCTATGTAGAAGATATTTTCAATTCAATCTTCGTTTAAAACTGCATAGTGGATATAAATTAATATACAAACTATAAAAAAAATTAGGGAAGTTTTATGAATCCAGTTACTCTAGTAAAATAACCTCTATCCAATTCCTATTTAATTTGACCGTAAATATTAACACTAATTATGTCATTTAATTTAGTTCATATTGCAATTAATGGTTTACGGAACTGCACCCTGCAGTAGTCGACAGCGGGAACAGATAATAAGATGATTGACTTTTATAGTGTTGGTAAAGTTGAGTTTTGGTTAGTAGTGGAATTAAATTTTCGCGATTCGTCCTATTTGGGAATTTTCAGCTGCGAATGACTGCACCTAAGTTTTTAAGGTTCACATGAAGCCTAACACCTTTCCATTTTAGTGCTAACGCGTTATCCATTGAGCTGAGGAATCAAGTGCGGTACTAACGTCCTTTACGTATTCAATAATAGTAGTCTAAGTTTGCACGAATTTTGGCCTGACCGTTGGTGTTACCTTGACATGGTGGTCTGACTTGCCTATCGTGATGACCCAACCGAGCTATATTGGCTGGAACATATGTAAATGAAGGTTATACGTCAGTGATATCTGCTAGTAGGGTAAACCATAAGGCTAGGAAGAAGCCGTGGATTTCAGTAGCATCTACCGAACTGATGGATGCTCGAAAACTCATCCTACCTGGCTCTGAACATGACGAAGAGCGAAGTTAGCTTAGGCGAGGGCTGATAAAAAGCCTACGCAACGACCGCGAACAGTGGTGGGTGGCAAAAGCGAGAAAGGTGGAAAAGGCAGCGGCGATAGGCAACAGTAGGCAGCTATTTAGACTCATCAAGGAAACCGGTGTTAGAAATCCATCTGTTAGCAAAACTATCTCAGAAAAGGATGGCTGGATCATTCATTCTCAATCCAGGAGACTGGATCGATGAGCAGAAAACTTTAGAAATCAGTTCAACTGTCCTTCAGCCACACTTCCGTTGCTCACGATCTCCAGTAATCCTGAGTGGCAAGTCGGCCCAAGTCCTCCGAACCTTTATGAAGTTGATAAAGCGACAGGAAATCTAAAGCGAGGTAGAGTAGCAGGTCCTGATAGGCTTAACCCTGAGGTTGTTAAGGATGGTGGTCCAGTTTTAACAGTTAGACTGACCGAGATCCTAGGTAGAATCTGGGAACTGGACGTAATCCCATCCGACTGGTCTCAATCACTGATTGTCCCAGTTTACAAGAAAGGACAAAAGTCTTCGTGTGACAATCACAGGGGAATCAGTCTAACTAATATAGTTTCTAAATTGTCAGCCTCGATTATACTTAGACGCCTAACTAGAGCTCATGAAGAGCAGACTAGGGAAAACCAGGCTGGTTTTCATTCTGGACGTGGAAGCATAGACCATATATTCACACCACGACAGGTCCTGGAACATAGACACACATTTAGGCGTCGGACATTAGTTGTCTTCCTGGACCTAAAGGCGGCATTCGACTCTGTGGATCGTGAGGTTCTGTGGCAGTGTCTGTCATTGAAAGGTGTACCAAAGAAGTACATTAACCTTATACAAGCTCTCTACTAGAACACCACTGGTCGAGTGAGAGCTTTTAGAGAACTGTCACCGGAATTCTTTACTTCAAGTGGTGTCCGTCAGGGCTGTCCACTCTCTCCATTCTTGTTTAATTTTATCATAGACATGCTCCTAGAAATAACCTTATCCTCGTCTGAATTTTCTGGAGTAGACCTTTTACCGAGTGGCTCGCTTATTGACTTAGAATATGCCGATGACATTGTCCTACTTGGTGAAGATGCTGACAAAATGCAGTCTTCTGACTACCCTAAGCAACAATACAAGCATGTTCGGGATGCGGTTTTCCCCCTCGAAATGCAAAATGTTACTTCAAGATTGGGTTTCATCGGCACCTGAACTAGTGATAGGGAGTGAAATAGTCGAGCTTGTTGATCATTTCCCTTATCTGGGGAGTCTCATCAGTGCTGATGGCCTGGTGACTGACGAAATCTCAGCACGGATACAGAAGGCTCGATTGGCTTTTGCCAATTTACTTCATTTATGGCGTAGGCGTGATATCCGTTCTCTAATCAAAGGACGAGTGTACTACGCAGCAGTTCTCTTTGTTTTCTTATATGGATGCGAAGATATTCGCAGATTACTGGTATTCAATTACAGGTGCCTTTGAAGCATTGCTCGTGTATCCTGGGACAACTGAGTAAGCAATCCTGTCGTTAGGAAACGAGTTCTAGGTAGGGATGGCAGATCAATAGATGAAGTAATGAAACTTCATCAGTTGAGGTGGTTGGGACATGTGTTACGAATGTCCAAATACCGACTGCCTCGACAAGCTGTTTTGTGGTGTAGGAATAGGTTGAAAGAAAGCTAGGAGCGGCCAGATCAAAACATGGCAGAAATCTTTGAAGTCACTGACAAGTGGACTGAGTCATGTTGGTAGATAGATATAGACTACCGTGTTGGGGTCCGCGAGACTGTAGAAACCGATGGGTAGAGACCTTGGATGACATGGTTCATATTGTTTGCGATGGCGCATGTGCATTCACTCTTTGTGTTCTCTCAAATCCTAATCTTCTCGATTCTTCAACACCTCTACTTTTGTCTTTCTAAACCTATCTCACTGAATAATATCTTGGAACCCTTATCCTCTCTATTACCAGTAGTACTCCTACTATCTCTACCACTATGGGATTCGAACTAACAATTGCGTCTCTATGCTAATGTGGTACGGCAACATGAACTGATGTGCTTACGTACGAAGTTCTACGTTGCATCTTACTGACTGACTGCATGAATTTTGTCAATCTAAATGGTGTATCAGTAGATTATCAGTTATTTATTAATAACGAAATGTAAACATGTTTATTCATTATTCACTAATAAGTTATACCGTAATATTGATGATTATAATGCGGATCATATAGTGTAATTATAACAGTGCCTGGTTATATAAGACCTACATCATTGGAATAAATAAAGTAGGTGTAGCACGAATAAAAATGATCATAGATTACATAAAATGGAGTGGTTTAACAGAAATAGATTCTTATATCATTACAGAAACATGACGCTATTAACAAGATCATGTGGAATAAAACTTCAAGCAATTATGAATATAAAAGTCAAGGTGATACTCATCAAAATTAACAACATATCATGGGTACTTAATGAATCTGTTGTTTAAAAGATTAACCATCAAAGAAATAAATGGATTCCACACTGCAATAATATAGCTGTCTATTTCTCTTTGATAATCTAGCAACGGACAGTTAGTTTATGAAGTGATCTATCTATCTTAAAATTAGCAAACCTTCCATTTGAATGACATCAATGTTAGATTTTAAAATGTTTAAATTTAAATCTTAAAAAATGATTTTTTTCTAATCTTAACTCAAATTCTATGAATTTTTAATGTTTTCAGTTTGATTTCAAAAACGAATACTGAATACATATGTATATATATATACATATGTATATCTTCTGTCTTGTTTAAAGTATTATCTTACTGTCATTTAAAATTCAGCTTCAAATTTTATAATGTGTATTAAGAAAATTAATAATGGTCAATTGGATGAGTAATGATTGATTTGTTGATGAAAATTTTTATTCAGTTATTTATTAGCACAAATCAACGGAACAGTAAAACATGAATTGAAATTGACCAGTAAAAAAGGTGCATACTTGACTAACAAATCGTAAACAATTGAAATTATCATAAAATAAATTGTGATTTACATGAAATGGCAATTATTTTCAAAGAAAAATTCTTATTTCCAAAAATCCGTTTGTTCATTAGTAGTTCATCAAGAGTATAACTTGATTAGATAAAAAAATAAAATTGTGCAAATAAAATCAGTCTATTTTTTTTTCGAGTTTTGAATATAATTCTTGGTTTCCGCTTCATTTTACACTACTGTAGGCACTTGGATGTTCAGATGGTAAACATTTTATCATTCTATTAAAAAGTCAATGTCAATATAGTGGATTATACAATTATTTGCCACTTATTGAAAAAGCAATTCGTATTAGTGGAACAGGACCGAGTAAAATTGAAAATAATATGGTTGATAAATATTACAAGTTAGTTGATTATCTTAAGATTTCTTTCTGTTTGTTTCGCATTTAAACAGTAATAACTCAGTGGTTACTGATTTGATCTTTTTTAAGCTGATTGTAAATTTGATGTAACTATTGGGAGTTTATTAACCAGTAGACTACAGGTTCACATTACAGTTCACTAGTTTCTATCCAAACTAATATTTCGCATTATTAAGCTTCATAAAAGCATTATAATTCAAAGCTGAGTATTTGAATGTATGTAAATTTGGTTATCAAGTTAAATAACTAATATATTATCTAATTAAATGTAACTTTTTCCCATTAACAATATATACTGACACAACTTAATTTGGTTTTCCTTTATGGAATGGTGAACCATCAAAAATAAGGATGTATTTGAATACAGTGCTTGTCCAAAATTGGGAGTTGTTAGAGACATCTGTGGTGTGAGCTAATTATAAGTAGTATATGACGTGAGTGTAAACGTAATGTCCGGCAGCATAATATGGGGGAAGATCAAGAAAGGAAGAGTTAGAAAACAATGGAATTTGTATGAAACGCATGAATAGTGACAATGGATTGATGTTTGGCAACAGGAACAGTCCAGTTCGATAGGATGAACTAATCTTTTGCAAATGAACAATTTACGATATGGTTTTCCGATTTTACTGAGTAACTCTGTAACTCTGTTGCCCCGCGTGTGTTCTCGTTCACTACACGTACTTTAAAACTACACATGAAATTGAGTACCAAGCTAATACGATATTCCAAAGCCGTAGGATGTGAACTTAGTTTACATTTCTTACTGTGATCAGTTTACCAGATAAGTAAGGTATTCACCATTTACTACTATTGATAATATATGCATCGCTTTCGACATGGTTGAACAATAGACAATTACAATCTCTCACTAGTATTTTGTGAATTCATGTCAAAGCCAATCATCAGAATTTCAGTTCCTGAAAACTGTGGGATAACTTTTACCACTACTTTACATAGGCAGGAAAGACCTTGAGAATTAAAACATTTAAGATCTCTGTCACGTTCTAAACTTCTACATAAAATTTTGTTCCATTAGATGACTGCTCATTTATGGAAAACCGTTCAGTAAACACAAGTTTTCGATGGTTCCCCAGTAATAATGCATCTAGTACTATTTAACTACCTTCGTCAAGTAATTAACAGGCTACTAAAATTCCTACGTTTTTACACTTCCAGTCGAAACACTAACACGGTAAATGGAGTGATGACAAATGTGAACATAATTTGCACGGACAACTGGCGTTACTATATAAACAAGCTGCAAGTTTACAATGGATAGTTTATATCAATTCTCAATAGGTAGACGGCTAGATCGTTTGTAGTGCGAATCCGAGTAATAGCGCTGTATTGTTTATTAACTATTATTTATGGAATGACAGATGAATTTTGTATAAGTTAATCGGTTAAATGAAAGGATAATATAAAAATACCATGAACCAATTGTTGAATAAATATACAGAAAATAAGTGAATTGATATTCTTAGAAATTGTTCTCTAACTTCCATAAATTCTTTTCCTTGTTTAGTTTTTGACAATTTGAAAAAATAAAAAACTATTTAACTCGTTCGTTTATATGTTTGTGTCTTTCGTTTTCCTTTTGCAGATATGATAGTGGACTGAAAAGATTTGTTGAAATCTATTCCACTTCTCATATGTCAACTGTTGTCGACGCAGTACAGTTACATGGACGAATACGTAGCTACTCTGCAAAGTCTTATGCAACACAAAAAACCAATTCAGCTAAATGTCCACTACATGCAAAATAAGAAATTTTATCCGTTTTCTTTTTTGAAAAAAAAACAAACATTCAAATTAACTTATACGGTGCATTAACTTTTCACTTATTTCTTCTTTCATCATCTGTTATGAGCTACAAACTAAACAGACAAATCCGTTACATTGAAAAACACAACAGATGAATAACAAATATAATGTATTTCTTTTCTCATTTATATTGAGATTTATTTTTTTAAACAATTTTCTTCTTGACAAAATATAAAATAATTTAAATTATTTCTTGTAAATTTTCAATGTGATTTACCTGAATTATAGGATAGAAACTTATGAACCATGATTACGAATATTTTTGTTTTCATAATGACCAGTTTGAAGAATTAGTGTGATAATATCCGTCCGTCTATATTATCCACTTACAAACATAAATCGAATGCCAATTGTATGTCACCTCCCAAGCTTTTTACAATTCACTCAATGAAGGGGAAACTACCGTGGGAAAAAAAAACTGGAAAGAGACCAACGAAGCAATAACTTCAAGCATGTTGTGAGGTTTCAAGGTACAAGAAGCACCATCACAATCAATGGATCTGTATGGACACTCTGGACAAGATTCAAGAAAGGAAGAACAGGAAGGCAGCAATCGATAACAGTGGAGGAAAAGGAGCAGAGAAAGTTAAGGCACAGGCCGAATACACAGAAACAAACAAACAAGCAAGTGAAAATGAGCACTAGAAATAATAAACGTCTGCAACTATCAACATTGATTACTCCACTGATGCCATATTTTGGTTTGGCCGTCCTTAGCTTTCTTCCTGCTAGCCTCTACATCAGTCAACATTTCCCGTTGAGGTGGTTGGGCATACGTAACACATGTTTCAACCACCTCAACTGATGAAGATTCACTATTTCACGAATTGATTTGCCATCCTTACTTAGTGCCAATTTCCCAACTCCAGCATTGTTTACTCGGTAGCCCCAGGATATGTGAGCAATACTACGAACACAACTATAATCGAATACTAGTGATATACGAATATCTTCTATTCTTACTGAACATGTTTTACACCCGTATAGTAGGATGGAGAGAACTGATTCTCAGTAGACTCGTCCTTTAATTAGCTGACAGATATCTCGACAGTGCCATAAGTGACGCAAGTTGGGCAAACACCGGTCAAGCCTTTGCTATCCGTGCTAGGATTTAGGCATACACCAAACTATCAGCAGTGATGCGAGTCCCGAGATAAGTGAAGCATGCTACTACTTCAGTCCTTATCACTAGCTCAGATGCCAACGCAAGCCGATCCTGGGACAGCCTTCTGAACTTCGAGGCGGAGAATAGCATTACAACCCGCTTCTATGGTTGTTGATGGTGATTAGAAGACTGCATTTTGTCAGCGTCTTTTCCAAACAGGACTATGACGTGTGCATATTCAGAGTCGACAAGTGAACCGTCTGGTAGAATTCCAACCTCTAAGAAGTCAGCCGACAAAAGAATAAATCTAAAAACATGTCTATGACAAAGTTAAAGTAATTTTTTCGAACGCATTTCAATGATAGACACTGCCTAAAAACCTCACGATCAACAGTGAAATGCCTAATTGAGGTCAAGAAGTACAACTATCGTGGGATGCTGAAGTGTGTGTCTATGATCTAGGACGTGACGAAGTGTGAATATTTGGTCTATACATACACATCCAGACCAAAAACGATCCTGGTTTTCTCGAATCTGCTCTTCACAAGATCTAGTTAGGCGTCGGAGTATTGTTGAGGGCAATATCCTTGACACTCTATTAGCTAAACTGATTCCTCTGTGATTATTACAAGACTTTTGTCCTCCCTTATAGACAAGGATAATCAACGATCGAGGCCAGTCGAATGGGATTATGTCCAGTTCCTGGTTAAGAACTCAATCAAACTAACCACCATCCTTAAAAACCTCAGGGGTTAACCTATCAGGGCCCACTGCTCTTCTTAGCCTTAGATTGTCTATAGCTTTTTTAACATCATTAAGAGTTGGACGACTTACACCAACTTTCCATCTAGGTTGGCTGGAGATAGTGGGTAACCAGTGTGGCTGAAGGTCAGTTGAACTGCTTTCTAAAGTGTTCTGCTCATCGATTCAATCTCCTGGGTTGAGAATGGATATTTTTTCGAATCAGACTAATAATGCTCGTTTATTTGAAAAGTGTAAATAGCTTACTATATCACCGCTACCTTTTCCATCTTTTGCTCTGATCACTGTGTAGTCTTTTTAACTATCTGTGCTTAAGCTACCTACGCTCCTCATCATGTTAAGAGCCAGACAAGATACGTATCCGAGCATCTATCAGTTCAGTAGATGCCAGAGAAATCCACTGATTTTTTCCTAACCTATTAGTTTATTTAACTTACTGGTAGATATCACTGCCGTTCCTACACCTCTTCGGATATTACTCCAAAGCGCCTCGGGTTGGAAATCATTTACATGGCTGTCTAACTCTTTCTTTGGTTGCTCTCGGAATATACTCAGCTTTTTTATCGTTAAGTAGGAATCTAAGGGTTTTTCTTGCTGTCTTTCTTAACTCCAGTTAGAGGCAGACAAATACGTGCTCGTATTAGAGAATGATTTGAGTGTGAAGATGTGGTCCAGAACGAGTGGCAGATTTCTATCGAGCCACTCCGTCGGCGCTTGGTAGCAATGTGGTCTATTTGGGTCAAGCGTTGAGATGATTTAGGCGGTCGCCATGTCGAAAGACGTTCTCTCTTATGCCTAAAGTTGGTGTTCGCCAGAAATAGGAGGTCATCTGGGCATTACTGCAGTAGGCCGTCGGCATCATCTGTTCGACACTATAAGACAAATCAGAAGTGGTAAGGCAGTAGTGCCAGAAACTGAAAGCAAACACAGAAGTAACAACAAAAATGCTCCAAACTCTCTTCAGCCAGATTATAGAGGATGAACCAGCAAGCTGAAAAACTATAACTAATCAACATACCAAAGAAAGTAGATCATACTAATTCTGAAAACGTCAGGTGCATCAATCTACTACCAGTAATAGTCTTCATTAGAGTGCTGTTGAACAAAACGAACGATTTAAGGGACTCAAAACTTCGAGAAAAACAGGTTTGATTCTTTAAAGACCGATCGTGTACCGGCCAAATTGTGATTTTTGAACAATTAACTGGAAGGAACTCATCATTTTATAGCAATTCCACTGACTGAGAGGAAGCATTGGACAGCGTACACAGGAGAACATTATAGAAACTTCTTCGACACTAGTGTGCCAGAGATAGTTACCATCATACGGACTTCCTATGGCGACCTGCACAGCAAAGTCTTTCATTGAGAGTAGCTCAGAGACTCATTCCAAGTGATGACCAGTGACAAGCAAGGTTACTTACTCTCACCCTTTCTCTTCCTTCTGGTGGTTGACTGTAAGGAGACGTCAACATCTCAGTGGAAGCCCCGAACATAATGGACAGCTTGAATGCAGCTATACGATTTGGATTTTGCAGATGTTCTAGCCCTTCTATCCCACACACAACAACAAATGCAGAAGAAGACAACCAGTGTAGCAGCAGGTCTTAACAAACTCAAGAGAAAAAGTACTATCCTCTGATACAACACAACATGCACCATACTTTACGGAAAAGCTTTGGAAGATGTAAAAACCTTTACATACCCAAAAAAGATTCGGAACTCAAAACAACTGTCGAAAAAACAGGGAAGTCACTGTTGACTGCATTTCTGCCCATATTTACGCTAATCTAATCATGCAATACAAACTAAATGAAAGACCGAAATGATAGAAGCTAATTCTTCTCGATAATGGCAGTATACACCTTTATTAGACGTTACTACGATGACAACAATTTCTCGACAAAAATATAATAGGTGAATATTCTTTCTTTCAGAATATGATATATAATCGCATCTGAAAACAAGGAGACCACGCAATGAAATGGTAAACGCAAATAAACAGAAGTATGAAATCTATTGTGATACAATATAATGCTTAAATGTCTCCTTGATAGATTGAAGAAGAAACAGAACAAGGATTATTGAGAAGTGATTGTAATATATTAATAATTGTTAATCAACTAAAACCAAAAGTAAAAGAGGAATTAAGTTTGTGGCAAAATAAGAGATCTGACTTGGAATAGCCATTTTCTACACTGACAATGACTGAAGTTAAGCATGATTTTCAAAACAGTGTTTCCTATTAAACCATTAAAATAACTGAAATTGTGTATGACATACGCAGACAACTCATTAAAAGCTGATAATTATTTTTCGAATATATGGAAATGGAAAAGAATTCTTACAAACTAATTAACAATTTTTAATTTATTAAATCACAAATACTCTATCAATATTCGTTTTACTAGAAATGATTGGATGATCCTCGTTCAGATGCCGTTATATTTTCAAATAATAGGATTCTCACTTAATGGTAGTCATCAAGAAGTTTATCCGCTTTTAATAATTGTAAAATGGAATTCTAGTTACTTTTTTTTCGGGTTTATACCTGAACACCGATTTGTTTCTCTGAAGTCATATCGTTTTTGCAGCCGTTCACAAAGACAATTTTCATACACTTGGATATAAACATGGTAAATTAATCGTGTACAAGCTTGAAAAAAAGCTTTACTCAGTGTAACTGTGGTAAACGTGTTACACCTTATCATGAACGTTTTCTCTAACACAACGAAACATAACATCCTAATCAGTTGATCCTACTATTGCAGTTGAATAACAACAACATACAAAATGGAATTTCAGCATTGGATCATATAACTACGCAACTTGTTTACATTGTTCTTTTTCAATGAAACTCATATGAGAAGCTACATTGGGGAAATGTAAAATTTAAACGATTTTCCAGTATATACGTATTGAAACATGACATTTTAAAGAATAGTCAAAAATATTGACACACACTAAAAAATAGTATAAAGTACAATTTGTTCCATTTTTAAAAGTTAAAGAAGAAAAGGGAAGGAGCAGTCGAGATCAATTATTAAGACATTCAACATTGTGATCAAACATCTGTCATAATAAAGTTCAGACCAATTACAATGATCAATAGGGACGATAATGAAAAAGATTAAGAAAAAAAAGATAACTACAAACAAACTAAACGAGATTTTAAAAATTCCTTCAATGGTTCAATTGCATCATGGTTTTTAAAGTAAAATGAACAAAATATATGTATATATATGGTACATTAACGTGTGAATGGATATGCTGATTCGATTTCAAGCTCATGAATCCCGATGGACAAACTAATATGATAGTGGCCAATGAAAAAACATGGCAGTATTTTATTTATTGTAATACTATTCCAATCTGTAAAATAATTTTTAGTAAAATTAAATAAGAAAAAAATGAGAAATTAATATATTTAACAAATAAAACAAAAATAATAATAATAACTTATGGAGTTCTTTCACAGTTTTTTTTTAAAAAATATGTCCAACTAGAATACTTATGATATTTGGGAAAAATTAGACCGAATAACTATACTTCAAATGATTCCAGAATGAGTGAACTGGAAAAAAAGATTTTCTCCAATGACATCTAATCATATTTGCATTTCTAGTAATATTTGTGTGAAAGTATGTTGTTTTATTATTAAATATAAATAAAATGTTAAACCAATCAAGGCAATTTGAGTCATAATCACAATGAAATGAAAAAGATTACGTCGATCGCCGAAAAGAAGCCTTTATTTATGAAGTTACAATTCAACGGAGATGTGGCCTGCGATACTCTGAAGGACAGATTAATAAGAGTAATTAATAGAATATTCAAAGCTGCCAAACTTGCGTTGACATTCTCCAGTCGACCAGCTATGTCTACCCAAACGAAGGACAAGTTACCTGAACTGGCCTCCTCTATGTGCATTTACAAATTCAGCTGCTCCTGTGGAGATAGCTATATCGGGCATACTTCCAGGCGACTTACCCAACGAATGAGTGAACGTATTCCAGCATGGTTTACGAAGGGTCAGTCACATTGGTCACATTGTAGATAAATCTAGATCTTCTCGGGTGATCTATCGTATACCTCCATCATTTCCCAACGGAGTTCAATCCCGTCTCCTACACATAGCAGAAGCCATAGGAATTCGTACATTCAACCCTAATTTATGTGTTCAGAAGAAATTCGTGACACCCCTATCTCTTACGTGGCCGGATATGATGTAACTAACGATCGACAATATTTTTTTTGGTTTAAAATTTTATTTGTTATTATTAGCATTATTTTCACATCCTGTATTTGTTGGTAATTCTCTGCCTTTTTCCGTTTATATTCTCCACTATCTAATTATTTTTACACATTTGCTTATTACGTAGTGGTTTTAATGTTTTGTAATGATTATTTGAAGTCTATTCATCCACCTTTGACCTACTATTGATAAAACTTTAGCTATCATATTGTATAATTTTCTTACTACTATCAATACACCTGTCTTCCTACTGTCAACTGGTACTTTTGCCTATCATATGTAGTGACGCAATCTTTTTCATTTCATTGTGATTATGACTCAAACTGCCTTGATTGGTTTAACATTTTCATATAAATATTCATGTATATTAGAGTAAAGCCTGATGATGATCTAATCGAAAACAATATTGTTCGCTTATATGTGTTGTTCTAAGTTTCACAATGGGAATCTTTAAAATTATTAAATAAAAGAAACCTATTCTGATTAATGTCAGTCGGTTAATTCTCAGTAGTGGAGAGCTGGTAAACATGTCTTTCACACTTTATTTAAATATTTATTTTTGATTATTCGGTCTTCCAGACATTTTTATTAGCTAAATCTCTAGTGAAGCTCAGGCTTAACAAATGAATAATTATCTCATTCATAAGGTGATACAATAAGCTTTACGTAAATATCTACTTCACCATTAAATGTTCACAATTCAAGTTTATTGAATTTAAATACGTTTTATTTTTAAAAAATTGAACAGTAAATATTTATGAGTCTTTTTTGAATTATGTTACTCACAACAAGAGTTCGTGCCCAAACTTTAATATTCTTTGTTATGTCTGCTATTAGAACAACTAATTCACAATCCAACCTTTGGCACTAGAACGAGTAGAACCTCTCCCAGATCGCAAACCAGAAGCAGGAAGAGACAGAATTGTTTACTCTAGTTAGTCTCAAAAATGTACGGCGAAACTGTGGATATTTATAGATTTTTTATTGAGTGGAAACAGCATATAAAATTACCCAATCTTCAATGACCGATGTCACGTCATCATCCAGTCACCTTATGCCATATCGACATTCTAGAAATTCTATCAAGCTGTGATAGGGCGGAAGCGCTTCGGCTTCTTAGGAGGCTTCTGTGAGCCATCCCAACATTTTTATTGATAATTATTTCTTATTGTATGCTAATTATTATTTCCTCGATTTACTTTAACCTACAACTCGATTCGAGCCTCGACTAGATACTGATTATTTTTATACTTGCAGATATTAACAAGCATATTTTGCTAGCCATCTAAAAATCCATATTTACCTCGAATAAATAAGGTATTCAATGTATCTAGTCACTACAATTATACGTGATGTTATAACAAAGTCAGTCAGTCAGATGCAACGTAGAACTTCGTACGTAAGTACATCAGTTCATGTTGCCATACCACATCAGCACAGAGATATAATTGTCAATTCAAATCCAATAGTAGAAGAGGTATTAAAGGTATTAAAAGTAATCGGAGAGGTTAGGATTAGAAGATACTATTCAAGAAGTATGATTCAGTGAGAAAAGTTTAGATAGTCGAAACTAGAGGGGTTGAAGAATCCAGAAGATTAGGATTTGAGAGAACACAAAGAATAAATGCAGCGGCGCCATTGCGAACGGTTTTGAGCCATGTCATCCAGGGTATCTAACCATCGATTACTGTCATCTCGCGGACCCCAACCAGGTAGCCTACATCTACCAACATGACTCAGTCCACTTGTCAGTGACTTCATCAATTTGTGCCATGTTTTGGTCTGGCCGCCACTAGCTTTCTTCCAACCTATTCCTACACTACAAAACAAAGCTCGTCGAGGCAGTCGGCGGTTAGGCATACGCAACATATGTCCCAACCACCTCAACTGATGAAGTTTCACCACTTCATCTATTGATCTGCCATTCTTACCTAGCACCCGTTTCCTAATAACAGCGTTGCTCACTCGGGTGTCCCAGGATTTACGAACAATGCTTCGAAGACACCTATGATCGAAAACCAGAAACCTATGAATATTTTCTACTCTCACTGGCCATGTTTCACAGCCATAAAGTAAGACGGAGCGAACTACTGTGCAGTACACTCGTCCTTTAGTCAGCAAACGGATATCTCGCCTACGCCATAAGTGACGCAGGTTGGCAAAAGCCAATCGAGCTTTCTGTATCCGTGTTGAGATTTCGTCAGTCATCAGGCCATCAGCACTGATGAGATTCCCCAGATAAGTGAAGCGGTCAACACGCTCGACTACTTCACTCCCTATCGAGTACAAAACAGCCATCTTACATGTGGTAGGTGTAAAATGCACATCGACACATGCAATATCTCACTGCTAATGGAGTATCCAAATTTTTAAACATGGATTCACTGAAGATTTGATGAATAATTTCTGTTCCGAGTGTCATCGATAACAAAATTGACAGTGTAATCAACATAGAATTCGAAACATTCGAGTCAGAGCCCAATGTGCTGTTATGCTTGAAGCTAATGAAACTTTTATGGGGAGAAACATTCGAAATAAATGAGGACTATTTCTTCTACACATAGTGTAAGGCTAAATTTAATTTGAACCGCCATTTTTGAAAAAAAGGTAGTTCTATCTTAAGACGGTTAATAATATTTCTAAAAGCAATGCAAGTTGTAATGTCTTTGTGCCATTTACAATTTTCGTCTGTAAGATTAGGTCAATAGGAAACTGTTGTTTCTTAATGCACTTAACATTAGTGAACTTGAATGATAAAAAAAACTCAAGAATTAACGGAGGAAGGACTGAACGAAATTTTATCACAGTAATCAATGTCTCCAAATACTTATTATAGGGTTGTCAAGGTAAACTGACACGATGGTGAACATTGATACTTTTCACACATCGACGTTAAGCAAAAGAAAATATTTTAAATAGAAAAAAAGCAACAATAAAGAATTTAGAAAATTTAACAAACCTCAGAGGGTTTAGCGAATGGACAACGCCAGTTGTACAAATAATAATGTAAATCTCCATCTCCAATGCCAAATTTTAATTCTTCCAAGAATTTGCTATTTTCCATTAAATCCAACGCATTGAATACATCAAATTTTAACTGTAAATTGTAAAAGTGTGAATAGTGAATATATTAAGCAAAAAGAATATCAAACTTAATAAATGCATTGATGATAAATAGTTCATTACATAGTTAAGAAATATTTCATTTAGTCGATTGACAATGACAATAAAAAGTTGGATAAGAAGTAATGCTGAGTGTATTAATTAAAAGTAACAAAACTACGAATAAGAATTAAGCGAAGATTATAGACTTTTATAATACGATTGATAACTTTTGTGATGAAAAAATCAACTGGTTAATAAATGAAGAGAATGACCATTAAAATAAACATTGTCATTCATAGTATTTAGTGGCATGTACTTTTTTCATTAGTGGTTATTTACATTTACAATTTATTCACGAAATACATGCTCATGTACTCAATAATGAATTATCTGTTGTATAACGCCCAATGATACTACTACTCAGTTGCTCAGACTGATATAGATGAAGTGGTATGTGAGATTTACTTATTCAACGTTCCATGCAGCTGGTTGCCTTCGCAAATCTAAATTAAGCAAGAATTATATTGACTACATAATATGATTAAATTGTACCCGGACGAAACAACCGTCCAGTGCTTTCAGGTTTTCAATGATGACCCAACTAGGATCATCTACTGTGAGAATTGAATAGTTGTATTCTGCTGCTTTATCTTCAGTTGCATCCAAGGAAAGAAGTTTAATTATTCTAAATAACCAACATAATCTGAAGTTTGAATAAGCTAACAGTCAAGAAATAAATAAAGTATTTTAGACCTGTCGCTTTTGACATCTATAAGAACCCGTTAATGTTTGATTTTTTAACTACATTTACAATTACAAACAAAACTTTGGATAATTCATATGTTCAAAGTCCAACCTATATTATTATTTAAAATGGCCAAACTTATTACCTTGAATATAGCTGGAGAAATTAACCAAATAGGATCAATACAATACATCATGCAACAAACGTCCTCTTCATATATTTAAATATTGTGTGTTACTGATGAGTAGCAAAGTTAGTTATGGTATAAATTCTTGCTTCCATTTGATCGAATCCCGACTGTAGCGGCTACCTTGACGTAGTGGTCCGGCTTGCCTATCGTGATGACCCAACCGAGCCATCAGCCACAGATGGAGAGGTTCGATATAGTACCGTTGCTCGTTCTGGGGCACATGTTTAGATTTAGCTCATGCTCTAGTGCAAGTGCGTACTTGTTTTCGACTTACTGGACGCCAGCTAGACCCCGGGTAGCAGATTCAGGGCTTCCAGATATGCGAAGAGTAAATCGAGTTGGTTCTTTATTTCGACAATGTGAAATCAAATCAATGACTTTTCTAGGATCCTGTGTGCGCGTCTAGGAGAGGCAGCATACATGATTGCGCGAGATTCTAAAGTCCTAGCTTAGGAAGCCTGTTGCCCTGTTTGACATAATGTCCGTACATTAAAAGCCCCAACATGTAGTCTAGAATGGGTTTTCAAGAGACCAGGAATAACGTTTCGAGAACTCGAATCATTTGCATCAGAGGTGCGGTATGATGAAGGAATGTGAAAAGAAGCAGTCCCGAAGATAAGGGGCATGTTAAGGGGTGTAGGAAGGATTTGATTGTTACCAATTTGGTCTCGTGTGCTGGTACAGGTATGAGGGCGGATATCAATTCCCGGCTGCCTACAACGTGGAAGGGTGTTTCTTGAGGGACCTGAAAAGGAAGGTAGATTAGTGTTGGTCTTAGAGACCTGAGAGAGTGACCACAGAGCCCAAGGGACTACTGCTTGAGGCCGGTTAAGCACGGCCTTTTTATAGGTGGTGTTTAGAGTGTTAGCTCTGTTCATGTTTAAAAGGCCTTACCGCGGAAGACGGAAGTTCGTAAGGTAAGGTGAGGTGTGACACTTTTAGGGTCGAACTTTTCTAACCTCTTCCTCCCTTTTAACAAGGCAGCATCGCTGCAGATGCTGGTTTTTCGAGGGAAACGCCTTACTGCTGTCACACCCCTCTACAGTCAGCAGTACGACTTCGCCCTCAGACGTTGAGTAGCTGCTTTTAGTCTCATCGTTCTCCAATCGAACTGCCTCGCTTGGTAGAACCTACAGGAACATATGTTCCAGCCGATTTAGCTCGGTTGGATCATCACGATAGGCAAGCCCGACCACCACGTCAAGGTGACCGCTACAGTCGGGGACTAGAATGTGACTAGCGGTGAGATACAGAACGCGCATTTTGTTCTATTTAGGGCCTGTCAGCTGGATGTACCTGTATTCCAGAGTTGATATTCACCCCGGGAACTAACTAAGTAGATAACGCGCTGGCGTTTGAAGCAAACTACATAGGGTTCGAGTCCCGGAATGAATATCAACTGTGACATGCAGGTACATAAAGATGATGAATCGCAAATTGGACAAAGTGCACGTTTTGGATTTTACTGCTAGTCACATTCTATCTATTCTATACAAACTTGTTCATAATGACTGTATCAAGGCAATCTGCCCGGTTACCAAACAAGACTGATCAAATGCCAGTTAAAATATCAGCAATGGGATAATCCGAAGCATTTCAAATTGAATTTTCTGAAAAGGCAATACGATCTTCTAACTTTAATCAATCTAGGGTACGTTAATCTGGTGAGTCAAACAATGTATTTTGAACCTATAGGATAATTGCTAAATCTCATTAATTATTACTAGTAAGCTATAGAAAGGCAGTTATTTCATATATGTAAAAACAGTTAGAGTACCATTTATTTGAAGAAAATTATAATATTTATGATGTACATAAAATATGTTCAACAGACCAAAATAATTAATAAATGACTATCGGTGATAAATATGTACTGGGAATAAGAAACTTTCATCAAATTGTAACGGAATATATGCTTGACTGGTCACCTGTACTTTTTTTTAAATGTGTTGTACAAACATAATTGTTATATAAAACAAATTACACTTTCTGAACCAGTAAAGAACGAAAACGACTTTTCATTGACAAAACTTACTGAGCTCAAAATCAATTAATATAAATGTGTACTAGACATATATATTTAGCAAAAATAATTACGGAAACTTACTTGTTTGGCTGAAATTAACATATCTTGAATTAAAGCAGGCCATGGTGTTACTGTAGAAACATTGTAAAACGAGTAAGCTGCGCGAAGACTATTGTGTTGTTTGTTTTTCATGACTGAACTGGGAAGGACATAGAATGAACAGAAGTCTGTGATCTTCCCATCTTCATTCTAAAATTAAGGTAAATCAAAAACTAAAACAATGAATATAATCGTCGTTGGATAAATGCGTTTCGGCTATTCGAAATTGTGAGATGGGATTAAGTTTTCTCACCTACGTAGCATAATACTTTGAATGATTATTCAAGATTTTTTGGAATGTCATCATGATTCTTAGAAAGACATTCAACTAGATTAATGTTAGTTACATAGGAGGAACAGTTGAAAATCTAATTAAAATTATACATCAAGAAATGAAGAATATTTGAACGATTTATCATACCCTTCAGGTGAATATTAAGTCCTTCCAGTGTTATCAGGTTTGGGCTAGATTTTAATGACTTTATAAACTAAAAATATTCTATTCTCATAATTAGATTTACCCGATAAAATGATGTTAAGCGCTCTTATCTCTAGATTATTTCACCAGGTAGTAAGTTGGACTGATGAGGTATAACAGATACACTATGATCTTCGACTTTTTTCATCTTAGGATATAGAACAGTTTTAATAACTTATCTTTCAAGAAAGAATTTACCTTTATTCAAAATATGTTCGATAAGTGCTGTTCCTCATCCTCAACAATAATTTACTACACTAGTCAAAATTTGTACTAATTCACGGAAGCGACAAAACTAACCCTTATATAGATATGAATTATGAACAATAACCTTGGGTCCTATATTTTGAAGTGCACAGTACTCTGTGCCTAAACTAACGAAAGACTCAGATTCTGCAATAACATATCATTATTGTAGATGCGCTCCTGATGAGCCCTATACTAGGACGAAACGGCTGTTCAGCGCTCCCAAGTTTCTAATAGTGATCTAACATTGATCGATTCGTGATTTCAATGAAATCGTGCCAAACTGTTTCTTAATTTGTATAGGATTAATTTAACATTGATAATGTTTGTCATTTTTATTTCTTTTCAGTCACCAATTCTTAATGATTAATTATTGTGGTATAATGTAAGATACAATTAATGAGAACCCATACATCAAAAATCAATTCATATCATTCTGTCCGAATCGTTCTTGCTTCAGTCAAATCTATAAATGAAACTAATTCTATATAGTTACATAATTGAACATAAAAAGTAAAATAAACAAAATATATGGTATGACACAAATCTGCAATCATAATAGATATTTATTTACCTCAACTATGAAAGAATACACAACATCATCTCGAGGAACAAAGAAATGCTGAAATTCTTCTTTAGTAAAAATTGGGTGAATCTTAAATTTTCCCAAGTACTATAAACAACAAACAATCAATAACAGGGAGAATAATGCAACAAAAACAGAAAACAAAATCGTATAGACGAATAATTAGACGTAATTTTAAATAAATAAATGAAATATGATGGTATACCTAGAGTAGTATACGGAAATTTCGAAAGGAGGTTCCATTCAAACTGTTCAAGATTGTCATATCATCTTTTTTTACAGCTTCATCATTATGTATGTCATTTTGTATCATTTGCTATAACTACTGCATAGAGGGGTTAACAAATTTACGATCTGGTGGTTAAATGAACAAACTATTAGGAAGGAATTTACAGGCACTTAACGCACTACAGCCCTAAACATGAACAAATGCTCGTAGTAAATACTAAATATGAGATTAATGTGAAACATTAAGTTTTACTGCCTTACTGTTAGGAAATATACCAAATAGAGAAAGAATTTCTAAATGATTATAATTCTAAATACTTAAACAGTGTACGTACTTTTCGAATCCAACGCCTCAAACGCTCTACTTGAATAAAGATGACTCTCCAGTACTACTTACAGAAAAGTGTATAAGTATGCACTTATTTCCTCATGTTTTAGCATTGGTTGGAGCAGGAAATGGATAATTGACGTTTCCATAGTTTGGATGCTAGGTCAAGATTTATTGGAAGTATAGGAAAATTTCCGCTGAAGAGTATTGTGCTGAATTTACTCATGCGCAATTGCGGATATGTTATAACATATACTTTTAATGTTAAAGATGTATCCATTATCCTAAAGTGTATATGACTTGGTAGTTATCCCATTTTCTTACAGTAGTTTATATACTAATTAATATACTACTCTATACTTTAAAGATCTATGAATATTACGGAGTGCACTCTAAAAACAATATCACTTTTGAAGATGAATTTTGCTTACATCTTATGCATTAAAATATTAACAGCATTATGATAGATTTTTAATCAAAATAACTAGTCATTTTAAGGAAAAAGATGTAATTATTAATCAACAACCTCACCTCAGATAATAGAGGCCAAGCTTTGGGGACATCTTTTTTGGTCATTTGACGGAAACCTTTGACAAGAGGAGCTTCGGGTAATCTATATAGTTTAATTGTTCGTTGAAGAGTCATATTGTGAGTGAGATGTGAAAATCCACAATCAAGAAGTTTACGTGGATTGAGAGGGCGATGCCAATATCTAAGAAAAGTAAGAAAGCAACTATCTACTGAATACAACTAAAAGCAAAATATTCTTCACTCATTACACCAACAAACGCATAGAGATAATTGAGTAAGCAATATAGCTTTATAAGTCTCTTTATAAGTCTCCTAAATAAACCTCATGATGTCACGTAAATGACATCATCAAGTTATAATTAATAACTGGAAAATAGTGACAATAACCAGTTTTTATTACAGTTTAAAACAATTATACACTGGTTTTAATAGTGTGTGAATGAATAAATGGTATTTTTAATTGAGCAATTAAGATGACAGTTTTTCACCAGAATCAACAAGACGACACCACCCACTCTAGATTGTGATCTTAACAGAGTAGTAAAATAACAGTTAGCGGTCTAGATAACTTTCTTTTAAAAGATGAGACTATTACATAACACGATTGTCAGCCATGAAGAAGATATGTTAACAAGAAGCTTTACAAGATTCAGTGGTAGCGTTGCGATTGAAAAAAGAAATGATACAATTGAAAACGAGAAACAATAACCACTTTGTAATGAATAAAAGATATTATATTTTCACACTCTCTTAGATGTACACAAATACACATGTACTTCCCACTTCACATGATCACATGTGTTTTAATGATATCAAATATTTTGGGTTATTCGTTAGGAAAATTTTAACTTTATTCATTTTAACCCAAGTGCTTATTTATTTTCTGAAAAAGTGACTTACACCATTTCTCAAAAGTCAAGAATTCAATTTGTATTCATTGAAAAATTACAAATTATTATCCTATTATTATGTTTAATTTATCTGAAATTATCAAGTCGAACATTGATAATTATCCTTATATTATCCACTGTGATGCATAAAAAAATGAAGATTAAAGCTGTAATTATTACTTGTAGAAGAAACTATAAACCGATATGGTATATGCCTTTTAGAATAATTTTAGTTGGGCTTCAATAGTTTGAATGGGTGTCGACAAAAATGGGAGATTGAACAAGTAAAATTGAGGAATGTTGGTCACTAAAAACCTATGATTCAATAGATTAACACCAAAGTCGATGATTTATGGGGCCAATCAGAAACCGCCAGATGATAAATGTGTGCGATTAGTCAACAAAGCGCTTTATTTCCAAGAGATTAGACAAAAAACCACTGACAGGACTATATATATAGTCAAGTGAACTTCCTTCCTCACACTTCAGCTTTTCTCTTGATTAACCGGGTTTATGTGAAGGAAGAGCGCGTATTAGTGTCAGCTTTCGGACACTGTAAGTCACAGCATACTTAACTACAATATAACACATATTAGGCGTTTATCATATTATCAACTTAAAGCTCTTTGTGTGAATGTACCTTCAAATAAATTAAATTTTGAAAGCAACAGAACTGGGAAACATACCGGCATTTACTAACTGGTTTTGGAAGCAAAGTTCCACTTGTAAACAAAGCCTGAAACCTCCCACGTAGATGAACTCGACGGGTTACTTCTCGAATCAGTACTGGTGCCATACGTTTAGAACGTAATTTTTTGTGGACACAAAGATAGTTGACTTCAACCAGCTGTTTTTCTCTTAGGTAGAAATTAAATATAAAACAAGCAGCGAAATAATATAATTGTTAAAACCAAAAAAGAATGATTCATTATCGGCAAAGCATATTGTAAACGAGAAACGACATTACCCTATTTAAACATAAGTTTATTTTTCTAGGAGGAAAATTCACTGAATGTTAGGCACTAGCCATACAGTCACTCGTATGTGGAGCTGCGGTTGGCTCATTCAATAAAATTGCAAGATACAAAAGAAAAAAGATCCAAAATCGCAGAACATCACAACTTAAGAACCCTAAGTACTTGATGATTCCAACATTCGGACAAAGCCCACTACATTTGAATCATAATCAGCTAGTATGGAATAAACCAGCTCTATTATACTCAAGGATAGGCACTGTTGACAAAAACGAAGTTATGAAACAAACAAAACAATACAGAATCTTGCACAAATATTTATAGGGCAAAGTTGTCACTTTTGAAAAATTACAAAAGCAGAGAAATAATTAAGCTGAAAGAATAGTAGGATAAACAAGATATTTGACTAAGAAAGGAACGTAGATGGTGGGTTAGAAAAAGATAAAGATTTGATTAATTTGTACCGCTGTGACAGATTTTGAATCACACCACTTATAGTCTTTAACTACTAGCTTTTTTATCCTTCCAACACGAGTCAAACCGATAACCAAAAGTTTTATGGACTAGTGCATATCTTAGCCTCATAAGCACTTACTTATACGATGTCAGCTGATAATTAGGTCAAGCAACAAACTGAGAGAGAATGTGTAATCTATGAATAATACACATATTGAACTAAAGTTAATGACATGAATGTAAACTAATATCTAACTACTCACCTACGCTCAGCTAAGAGATATTAGATACATGTTATTGCGTAAATATAGAAAAAAGTCAGAAAAACAAGGATGAACTTCTTACTTATCATATATCTGTAGATGGCATGGAATAGCTGCTATGAATCCAACCAGCTTTTTACTTTTGGCTACACGAAGTCCAACATGCCAATCTTTATGCCAACCAGGTGACTTTAGGATCCTAAACGAAAATAAAGTGAATATAAAGACACTTAATTACATGAGTGCCAAAGGACTATGAGAATAAAGCTTACAAGGAATATGAATTTTAATCATTGACAATATCTAGGTAACTACAACCGAGGAAGATGCTCAAAAGATATTATAATGTACTGGATGGAACTTAATCGTTACTTAATCATACAGCTTGAATGTATTATACGGAAACAAGGAGGTACATCGATTGAAAAAAACGACGAAACCTTAACAACTAATTACTTGGTAGAAAATAAAAAATAAGTATATCATGTAACAATAAATAAGGCTAGTTTAACTTTATCGGTCAAGCTAAAAATCAATCAATTTAATAGTCGGTTACGACGAAAAATATAGACAAGCAACTACTGAGTCGGGGATAAGAGAGTAGAAGTAGATGGAAAATAACACAACCCCAGCAGTGATTGAATTTAGTCATAAAGTATCGCATAGTGTGAGTTTGAATTTAACGGCAAACATTTCCCAATCTAACAGACCATCTTGCTAAGGAGTACCAAACTAAGACGAAACAACCATCCATTGTTCCCTGATTTTTACTGGTTCTCCAGTAGTAATATTCGATGACTTACTGACTTTGTGTACGGTTTCGAAGCACTGTATGAGGACTAATGATAACAACCGGTTACATAAATAGAAGTCACTGGGGTCGAGTTCGAACCTGGTACCTACTGATTGAAAGCTGAGTGTTTAACCAATAGACTCAACTTTGCATGCATAGCAGAGAGTAACACTAACCCTCATTCAAACTATGTGAACGTATATGAACATTTAATTGGTAAAGAATTTACATAAAATGACGAAAGAGAATTCGGTAACACTTACCACTGCAAAAAACTTTTGGAATAATCGAATCTGAAGAGATGATCATCGTCTTCGACATAATTTTCATACAAGAGATCGTACAATTCTTGTAGCTATATTTGTTAGGCAAATAAAAAGCTTAGTAAATAAAAATGTCAAAACACACCAAGACCAATTCATACTCATACTTATAGTAAGTCAAGTATTATAGTTAGTCGTCACAAGTATGTATTCAGGCCCGCAAACAACCGAGAACCTAATTTATAGGTGGGCCAGTCTAGCATGCAACAACCGCTACCAGTAAAGCAAGAGAGAAGGAAGGGGAGAGGCAGTAAATGAATGAGCAAAAAGTAAAACCATGTGAAAGGACACAGGAGAAGATAAAGAATGAATAGTTATACAATACTAAAGCCGATTCTAAACTATATTACCAAACTATGTTACAGTTAGTAACGTAAATAGGCATACCCGCACCTGATACAACAAGTGAGAAATAATTCTGATGATTAAGTTATAACTTTATCCTTTAGACTTTCATTCAGTCATGTTTACTTTTGTATGAATATTTTGCCAAGCAAGAATAAAACTTTTCTGCCCAGTGGCGTTAGCTCTCAATATCTGCTTACAGGGGGAATACTCTTGTGTCAATAATTAAGTTACCGTAAGCAACCATCACACGGCCACAACCTATTAATTTGGACAGTTACAACAGCTTAACATATTTAATTTATAGGAGGTTGGAGACAATGAATCTTTCTGAATCAGCGAGTTACAGCTGCATCTTATCAATCTACTTTGCAAATCTGAACACTATTTAGAAATTACAAACCACTACTTAAGTGCAATTCACAAAAAATGTACGACAGAAATCTTAGTTTGTGTATTAATTCACTGATACCATATATTGAAACGTTAGAGAAAAATTTTGAAGTTACTAACGGTCCAAATTCAATAAATCACTGTCATAAATCCAGAGGTCCCTTGATTCTGACTTAAAAAATCTAATTTGTCTCTTACGAAATATATTTATCTTACTTACTTACACCTGTTACCTCCAATAGAGCATAGGTCGCCGACCAATATTCTCAAACCTACTCTTCCCTGGGCTTCCCTATCTAGTTCTGTTCAATTCTTGTTTATTCCTCTTATGTCTGTCTCCATTACTCTGAGTAATATGTTTCTTGGTTTTCCTCTTTTCCCTTGACCCTGAGGGTTCCAACTGAGGGCTTGTCTCGTGACACAGTTGGGTGTTTTCCGCAGTGCATGTCCTATCCACTTCCACCGCTTCTTCCTGATTTCCTCCTCCGCTGGAATGTGGTTTGTTCTCCCCTAGAGTAGATTGTTGCTGATGATGTCTGGTCCACGGATCCGAAGTATTTTGCATGGACAACTGTTAATAAACATTTGTATCTTCTGGATGATGGCTTTCGTAGTTCTTCAAGTTCCCGCTCCATACAGTAGAACTGTCTTCACATTTGTATTGAAAATTATAACTTTGTTGTTTGTTGACAGTTATCTTGAGTTCCAGATGTTCTTCAATTGTATGATTGCAGCCATTGCTTTGCTGATCCGCGCCTTTACATCTGCATTGGATTCTCCTTGATTGTCGATGATGCTGCTCATATATGTAAAGCATTTACGTCCTCCAAAGCGTGTCCATCAAGAGTGATTTGGTTGGCACATGTTGTGCTGTTACGTAGAATCTTGCTTTCCCCGTTATGTATGTTGAGACCTGCTGCTGCTGTTGCTGAGGCTGCTGCTACGCTGGTCGTCTTCTCTTGTACTTGTTGTTGCGTGTGCGATAGAAGAGCCAGATTATCTGCGAAGTCCATGACGTCCAGCTACATCCTGGCTGTCCACTCTATACCGTACTTCCCTTGAGATATTGACATCTTCATAATCCAGTCGATCATTTTCACACTTAACTCATGAGAAGTATCAAAGTTTTTGGTTTAACAGGACGAATATATTACGAGTGTTCATAAACTTGCAGATTATATCAGGTAACAAATGAGGGGACTAAAAAGAATCGAGGAAATCTATATACAACATTTTATTTATCAGGACACTGGGTGGTAACAAAAGAACGTCTAAGACTAGATTATTACTGCAGATTAGGTACTTACAAGAAACTAGAACATACCATTGTCAATTGGTCGCCTCACAATCATTCAGCCAGTCAGTCACAACGTACATCAGTACATCTGGTAGCAAGAAGCGTGTGAATCACTAAGATTGTCCTGGGAAAGTTCCATAAAAGTAGTTTACTACCTTATGCATACAACTGATAAACCATAAGACGTTTCATCTATGTTTTCCCTAAGGGATAGATAGCAAACATATCAAATGCAGTCGGATTTACAATTTCTAGGGCCATTAGTATGAAATAGATATAAATTATAGGCACAAAAACCAATGATAAACTACCTAGTCTTTGTGGAATAAAGTTAAACAGCAAGAACAATCGGGAAATACTGAGTTTTTTCCGATCTATTCCTGCTTTCAAAGTGTAAACTACAGCTTTTAACGTAGTTAATACTCAAAAATAAAGGTTTTATATATCCTTACAAGGACTATAGAATGGTTAATAAGGATTGTATTTACGTTAAATAAAAGGTTACTTGTAAACGATTAACTTTCATACTTTGCAGAATAACAGACAATAACAGTACAATTGTTCAGAAAGAACTCAACTATGAAAACCTACCTCAGTTTCATCGTCCAAAGAAACTTCACACCAATAAAACCCTTCAGGTAACGTATACGGCTGTGAACGAATATCTTCATGTTTTGAATCTGGTTCAATCGGACCATTGTCAGTAATTTCTTCAGCTGGAAGGTAATTTTTTCACAAAACATGTTAATTTAGGACTATAGTGCAGTAATTTGTTTCCTAATTCTTTGTAAAACAGAGAACCCAGAAATATTTACTTTCTTGTAGTCCAAAACCAAGATTCTAATAATCAATGTGAATAAACTATGGAGACATAATTCATATTAACACGACGAATTATCGTTTAACTTTTTATTTTGAGCACTATCTCCAGGAAAAAATCCTTAAAGATAAAACGCCAATCATTTAAGTCACAGCACCTGTTGTCAACTTCATACTACATTTTAGCAAAAAAACATAAGTATTAAAGTAAAATCGCACTAATATGTGGTCCAACGTAACTCAAATAGTAAAAACTTTGGGATACAGAGGTCTAAGGTGATAGATAAAAAATAGTAAATTTAGTGAACTAGGAAACACTGTTGGAACATACACATAGATATTGTGATAATGAAGAACAGTCAGATAATTTGGTAAATCTATTCTTATTGTCTTAAAGGCCTATAAAAAGTAGCGATTATGTTTTTATAAGGTCTAAGATGCTTTTTTGATAGCTGATTACTAATAATAGTCACCAGTCACCATATATATTATAAACATGCTTCATATCCCAGATGCTGCAACTTGCAGATACATTATCTCTGAAGACAATCACTTGAGCTGATGACGATTGGCAACCTTGTCGAGTAAATTACCGCTTTAGCACTCTATGATGTCCCTTAACCTTCAGAAGTCAACTAATAGGTCCTCTTTTGAGATCCAGTTGTTGTACATCACAGTGATACAGTAATACACTTACAGATGTCTTATCTTCAACAGTTATCGTAAATATCAATCAGCGGTATGGCAACTTGAACCGCTTTACATACGTGCAAAGTTTTACGTTGCTGTTGTTGTTAGTGGTGGTGGTGAATATACATCACGTATTTCGTATACTACTAAGGACATGGATTTGTCTAAATAACGACGGAGCTGCAACCAACTATGTTATTTCCAGTAAGTAAGATTCAAATATAGGTTATTTTTACAATACTATCCTGAACTTTTGTTTTAAACTATTTATAATAGTAAATGTGACGAAGTAGCCAAGTTTATGCATTAAGTTTTAGACTACACTCACTTGTCCAAAAGTTGATCATCGGGGATAAGTTAGAGTCCGTGATTTAATAGCTGAAAGTTCAGTGGCTATATCTGAGTATTTTTCTTGATAGATTATTGAATTGTCTCGATTACTCAGGACTACAACTCTAAAGTAGCCCAGCGATTTGCAAGCTGGAATGTAAAGGTTTTCTGGTAATATCTTTACAAACACATCATTTCTTAGAAAATCGAAAAGATAAAACAGACTGGCTAGGAGAGTAGTGTTAAACCACTTACTGAGGTCAGGAACCGGCTGTGTCCTCCAGAATCGAAAGTCACTTTTAGACTTCTTTTCCACCACGCCACCAGAACCCCCGGATCCAGAGACCAACATGACGTTTGTAAGTTGCTTTAAAAGTTTCTCATCAATACCGTTCGGGAGTTGTCCAGGTGATAAAGACTTTTCGGGAGTAGAAAGTGAGTTAGTATCGTCAGACAAATCAGCCGTATTAGCTGACTTTTTTATTTTGCTTTTTGAAGGCTGTAAATAAAACAGACAAAAACCACAGAAGGTAGGTAGAACTTAATGACAGGATCAACTAATCATATTCATAATGGAACCTTACACAAATGCGTATCAATTTATGTTACATCACATTAATCTAGCGAGATGCCAGAGTATGAATAGTGAAGGTGGCAGAAGTAGTAGTTAGTAGGCATATGTAATTTGAAACTATATGGATTCGCTGAATATGAGAAATTTTTTAAAGATAATCATGAAATTGAAGATAAAATGAGACAAAGTGAATGAATCTGCATCGTCATCTAACATCTCTAATCACTGGTGATAATCACACGGATCTGAACTAGGTAGTATGCATCTACTTACATGGCTTACTCCCTTTATTGGCGACTTCATGGACTGGGACTACGTTTTGGTTTGACCAAACCTAGTTCTTTTCCGACCTACTTCTACACTAGACCACCCATAGAAGTAGGCAATTGATGGGCATACATGAAATATATCCAAGACACCTCACCAATTGATTCTCCACCTTTACACAATAACCTGTCTGAACTCAGTATTCTTCACTTGTTAGTCCTAACACATGAACAACACTTCAAAATAACCTGGCTAACGATTTTCTAACTTGAGGTGCTGTAAAACATAAAATATGGGAGTGCATATACGCGAATGAGTTTGCAAGTGATTAGTTTAAGGTAATCTTTAGCAGCATCGAATGGTAGATGGTGACGTCGATCAATCATTGATTAAAATAACTTAAGTCACGGTTTCAGCCACAGCTATGTAAGGGACTTATTATTTCCAGCTAAAGACAGACAGCTACTTTCATACCCAAATCATGTGTAAATAATAAGAAGCACTTCACTGAAACAGTCCCTAACAAATACTTTCTGTGGAGTCATGTGAAAGCATGGGCTTACGTGAAAGAACATTCAATGAGCGAAAGGAACCCTTTGAGACTGATGAACCAGCAAATTTGGTTCTGATGTAGTATCCCTCGCAAGAACAAGTACTAAGTCCCCAAGCCTAACATAATAGGAGTGATAGTTTATTACGAGAACCTAGATGTTTTAACTGCAATTTATATCTATTCGTTTCACAACAAAACCTCTCCTTAACACTTGTACTACGACTTGCCTGGACATACGTGAACCGACTTCACTGTCACTAAAGTTTTAAAAATTCAACAGAGTTTATCTAGTAGGTTGGTAGTTGTGAGTTTGTACGTCGCATGATTTATGATGAAAATTCTTGAAAGAACATTTAAAGTTACGCAACTTTTATTGCTGTTTCAAAAGTATGAAGTTCGTGACATGGATGCTTTCTCACCTGCAAAACTATGACTTAGAGAACGGTTTTATTTTTGCTTGTAAAAATTAGGTATGTAATTAATTCTTTGACTATTATATACTACTGAAAATTGTTAAAGCGGTTAGCTGATTTCAACGTATACAGATGAAAACTAACGGCATTTTTCTGATGAAACCGAGTTACTGGCAAACTTACTTCCCCAGATGCGTCAGTCATGTTATTGCAGGCCGTAACGCACAGACACGAAACCCGCGACGACTAAATACACCTCAGTTATAAGGGTAGTAAAAGAGTTTATTTGTGAAATTCCTAGAAGTCATTATTGTCCTAGATTTTCAGTTTGATTATAAAAAACCCTTTTAGGGCTGGGAACAGGTAGATCGTACCAGTCGTTGACTAACAAATGAAGAGAACGGAATGCCATCCTGTCTTCTGAAGCTGTTGTTTCCAAACTTTTTTGAGAGGCGCAGCAGATGATTTGTCCGATCGGAATCGAAAAAATACGGAGTATCAATAAGAAACTGCTTTATATTGCACAGTGATGATGGCATCCTTTTATACTGGACACATCCTGGTTCAATGAGCTCGATCACGCATCCTCATCAGAAGAGCATTGAACTCATTCCCTCCCAAATCCTATCCGTCTTAGGTTACCCGCTTCTCAGATTAAATGAAATATTTCCTCGTTTTATTTGTTTGTAAATTCCGGTTTGTCTGAGTTTGGGATTGAGGGTGGAGAGAACATAAGGCTGCAGTAAGGTGAATATTTTACATGATACTTTTGCGTCACAAGAAGTACTATCACAAGGAATGGATCACTGTCAGTCAGTCAGTCAGATGCAACGTAGAACTTCGTACGTAAATACATCAGTTCATGTTGCCATACCACATCAGCACAGAGATATAATTGTCAATTCAAATCCAATAGTAGTAGAGGTAGTAAGGGAATTAGAAGTAATCGGAGAGGTTAGGGTTAGAAGATACTATTCAAGAAGTATGATTCAGCGAGAAAAGTTTAGATGGTCAAAAACTAGAGGGGTTGAAGAATCTAGAAGATTAGGGTTTGAGAGAACACAAAGAATAAATGCACCGGTGCAATTGCGAACGATTTGGAGCCATGTCATTCAAGGTCTCTAACCATCGATTATTATCATCTCGCGGACCCCAACCAGGTAGTCGGCAAATACCAACATGGCTCAGTCCACTCGTCAATGACTTCATGGATTTCTGCCATGTTTTGGTCTGGCCGCCCCTAACTTTCTTCCAACCTACTCCTACACTACAAAACAAAGTTCGTCGAGGCAGTCGGTGGTTGGGCATACGCAAGACGTCTCCCAACCACCTCAACTGATGAAGTTTCACCACTTCATCGATTGATCTGCCATCCTTGACTCGGTTGTCCCACGGTATACGAGCAATGCTTCGAAGACACCTATGATCGAAAACCAGTAACCTACGAATATCTTCTACTCTCACTGGCCATGTTTCACAGCCATATAGGAGAACGGAGCGAACTGCTGCACAGTACACTCGTCCTTTGATTAGAGAACGGATATCTCGCCTACGCCATAAGTGACGCAGGTTGGCAAAAGCCAATCGAGCCTTCTGTATCCGAGCTGAGATTTCGTCAGTCACTAAGCCATGGGCACTGATGAGACTCCCAAGATAAGTGAAGCGATCAACAAGCTCGACTACTTCACTCCCTATCACTAGTTCAGGTGCCGATGAAACCCAATCTTGAAGCAACATTTTGCATTTCGAGGGAGAAAACCGCATATGCTTGCATTGTTGCTTAGGGTAGTCAGAAGACTCTGCATTTTGTCAGCATCTTCACCAAGTAGGACAATGTCATCGGCATATTCTAAGTCGATAAGCGAGCTACCAGGTAAAAGGTCTACTCCTGAAAATTCAGACGACGATAAGGTTATTTCTAGGAGCATGTCTATGATAAAATTAAACAAGAATGGAGAAAGTGGACATCCCTGACGGACACCACTTGAAGTAAAGAATTCCGATGACAGTTTGCCATAAGCTCTCACTCGACCAGTAGTGTTCGTGTAGAGAGCTCCTATAAGTTTAATGTACTTCTTTGGTACACCTTTCAATGACAGACACTGCCACAGAACCTCACGATCCACAGAGTCAAATGCCGCTTTTAGGTCCAGGAACACGACTACTGTCGGACGTCTAAATGTGTGTCTGTGTTCCAGGACCTGTCGTAGTGTGAAAATGTGGTCTATACTGCCACGTCCAGTTCGAAAGCCAGCCTGGTTTTCTCTAGTCTGCTCTTCACGAGCTCTAGTTAGACGTCTAAGTATGATGGAGCCTAACAATTTAGAAACTATATTAGTTAGACTTATTCCCCTGTGATCGTCACAAGAAGACTTTTGTCCTTTCTTATAAATTGGGACAATCAGTCATTGAGACCACTCGGATGGAATTACGTCCAGTTCCCAGATTCTACCTAGGATTTCGGTCAGTCTAACTTTTAAAACTGGACCACCACACTTAAACATCTCAGGGGCAAGCCTATCAGGACCTGCTGCTCTACCTCCATTTAGATTTCCTATAGCTTTCTCAACTTCATGTAGACTGGGAGGACTTAAATCGATTTGCCATTCAGGATGACTGGAGATCGTGGGTAACCGAAGAGTGGCTCGAGGCCAGTTGAACTGATCCCTAAAGTGTTCCGCCAATCGGTCCAGTCTCCTGGTTTGAGAATGGATAATAAGACCATCCTTTTCCGAAATAGTCTCACTCACATTTGGGTTCCTAACACCAGTTTCCTTGATGAGTCTAAATAGTTGCCTACTGTTGCCTGTAGCCGCTGCCTTTTCTATCGCTTTTGCTTTCGCCACCCACCATTGTTCACGGTCATTACGTAGGCTTTTTATCAGCCTGCGCTTAAGCTGACTTCACTCCTCATCATGTTCAGAGCCAGGTGGGATGAGTTTTCGAGCCTCTATCAGTTCGGTAGATGCTACTGAGATCCACGGCTTCATCCTAGGCTTATGGTTTACCTTACTAGCAGATATCACTGCTGTTTCCACAGCCTTTTTGATATCATTCCATCCTGCTTCCGGATGGGAATCGCTTAAATGGTCGCCTAACTGTCTTTCTAGTTGTTCCTGAAATATATTTTTCGCCTTATTATCATTAAGTAAAACCCTTAGAGGCTTCCTTATGGTGTCTTTCCTACGTCCAGTAAGCCTCAAACAAATACGCGCTCGCACTAGGACATGATCTGAATCTAGACATGTGCTCCAGAACGAGCGACAGTCCTCTATCGAACCTCTCCATCGGTGGCTGATGGCGATATGATCTAGTGGTGTCCAACTGTTGAGACGACTTCGGGGGTCGCCAGGTCAACAGATGCTTTTCCTTATGCCTAAAGTTGGTGTTCGCTAAGAATAGGCGGTTATCTGAGCATAGTTGCAACAGACGGTCGCCATTGTCTGTTCTCTGAGCCGCGACACCATAACATCCACCTAGGTGTCTCTCCTGCTCACCTAGTCTACCTACTTGAGCATTAAAGTCACCAGCCATTATTACTATATCAGAGCGCCTAACTTTTTGGAGGAGGTGTGAAAGCTTCCAGTAAAACTCATCTTTTACATCGTCTGAACTGCAGTCAGTGGGGGCATAGGCAGATACGATGAAGAGGCAACGGCGATTGTCCCTATCTTTCCGAGTCCTTACTGTCCCGTTCAGTCGGATAGCGCACAAGCGACTATCTACAGGTATCTAGTCTAGGAGAGCTAGCTCTGCCCTAAGACTCAATGCTATACCTACGCCAGCGAGACCCCGAGAAGCAGTATCGGGGCTTCCAGATACACGAAGAGTAAATGGGTTGCTTCTTTATTTTGACAAGGTGAAACCAGATTAATAATTTTACTAGGATCCTATATGCGCGTTTCCAAGACGCAGCAGTCATAGATTGAGTGAGATTCTAAAGTCCTAGCTAACGATGCCTGTTGGCTATTTGACACAATGTCCGTACCTTAAAAGCTCCAACATGTAGTCTAGAACGGGGTTTCAAGAGACCAGGAACGACGTTTCGTGATCTCGCTTCGTCTGCATTAGCGGTGCAGTGAGAAAAGGGAGTGTGAGTAGAGTTAGTCGTAGAGATAAGAGAGACATTAGGGGGTGTAGGAAGGAATTGATGTTGACCAATTTGGTCTCGCGTGCTGTTACGGGTATGAGGGCGGTTGTCACTTCCCGGCTGCCCACACCGTGGAAGGTTGTTTCTTGACGAACCTGAAAAGGAAGGTGGATTAAAGTTGGTCTTAGAGACCTGGTTGTGTGACCGCAGAGCCCAAGGGACAACTGCTTGAGGCCGGTCACGCACGGCCTTTTTATGAAAGGTTTGTTGAGGATTAGCTCCGTTCTTAAAGGCCCTTAGTGGGCACCCTTACCCAAGGAGACGGAAATCCGTGAGGTAGGGGCGGTGTGACATTTTTAGGGCCGACCTTTTCTAGCCCTTCCTTTCTTGTGAGAAGACAGCATCGCTGCAGATGCTGGTTGTCCAATCGAAACTCTTTACTGCTGACACACCCCTCTGCAGTCAGCAGTACGACTTAGCTCTCAGACCTTGAGTAGCTGCTTTTAGTCTCATCGTTCTCCAGTCGACCTGCTTGGCATGGTAGGACCTGCAGGAACATATGTTCCAGCCAGTATAGCTCGGTTGGATCATCACGATAGGCAAGCCCGACCACCACGTCAAGGTAGCAGCTACGGTCGGGAATGGATCACTGATAATACACTGGATAAGATTCAAGAAAGGAGGAAGTAGAAGGCAGCAATAAATGTCAGCCGAGCAAGAGGAGAAAGTATCACAGAAGCAATCAGGAAAGTGAAGAAGAGCATCAGAGGTGACAAAAGAAAGTATGTGGAAGATCTAGCAATGACGACGGAAAAGGCTGCAGGAGACGGAAACAATTGAACGATACAACAAAGAGGCATTTGATAGTGTGGTCAGAACAACATAATGTAGGCTTCGATACTATGAAGTGCCTGAGAAGAAATTCAACATAATAATTAATTCTCAAACAACAAAATTATGCACGGAGGTAAGCTGACAGGCTCCTTCGTGTTGGAAATCGGTATCAGACAATGTTGCCTACTCTCACCCATTCTCTTTCTCCTGTTGATCGACTGGATTATGAAGACATTAACATCTGGAGAGAAGCACGGTATAAAATGGACAGCCAGGATCC